GGTTCAAGCAATTCTCCTGCCTCAGCCTTCTGAGTAGCTGGGATTACAGGCGAGCTCCACCATGCCCGTACAAGTTTTTCTTTAACAGTGAAAATCTTATCTCATTCCATTTTCTCCTTAAACACTTATTTCAATCTATATTCCTCAGAGAATTTTATCTGAATGTAATATATTTTTATGCTTAAATATCTTTTGTTGATCAATAAAATTTTGATCATTTTGAAATTTTAGAAATTAAGAATATCCTGTGACACCAAATTCTAGGTATGAAGTATTTATTCTGGATTGGGTGATCATTGTAATTATTATTGTACATAATTAAAATAACATAAATATACTATAAATTTCTATTAAACATAGAAAAGTAAAATTTTAAACAAAAATATGTCTCTTAATGAGAAGGAAGAGCTTTTCATACTCCATAAGTTCGTGTATCCACTAATAATAATAATTCTTATTTCTTTCTAGAACAAGACAGGATTAAGCATTATGACCATACCTCTTGGGGAATGTTTTTATAGATGCAGGCACTGTGACATCCACTAGCATAAATGCACCTGCTGATTGTTATGTTCTTTCCCCAGATCTTCCCCTGGTAGTTTCTCCCCAGTATTCAGGTCTCAGCTCAAATGTGATCTCCTCAATGAGGTGTCCCGGTGATCAGATCTAAAGCATCATCTACACAATCACTCTTTAGTGCTACACCCATTAATTTACTATCATCACACTTGTCTCTATCCACAGATACCTTGTTTGGTTACTTTTGTATTGTTTGTCTCTGCCAGAATATCAGTTCTTTGAAGAAAAGGACCTTGCCTGTCTTGATATTTGTAGACATGAGGAAGGCATCATGATATAAGTGTGTTAATGAATGAATGAATAATATTTGTCTGAGAGAACCATTTATTCTAACCAACATTTATGGAGCAACCACTTTGAAAAGAACCATTCTCTCTCTCCCTCTCTCTCTCTCGTATTATTATTATTATTATTTGAGACGTAGTTTTGCTCTTGTCGCCCAGGCTGGAGTCCAATGGCACGATCTCAGCTCGCTGCAACCTCCACCTCCCAGGTTCAAGCAATTCTCCTGCCTCAGCCTCCCAAGTAGCTGGGATTACAGGCATGTGCCACCATGCCTGGCTAATTTTGTATTTTTAGTAGAGATGGGGTTTCACCATGTTGGTCAGGCTGGTCTGGAACCCCTGACCTCAGGTGGTCCACCCACCTTGGCCTCCCAAAGTGCTGGGATTGCAGGTGTGAGCCACCACACTGGCCGTTATTCTCTTTATTATCAAGTCAAGATATTCAAGGAAGGCAGCGGAAGAGGAAGCTTCACGTGGGCAGAGGAGCCTAGTCTTGAGATGTGATTTAGCTGTTATTTGGGTGAAATAAATAAACCAGGCTCAAAATAACACACAGAGCCTGGCATGGTGGCTCACACCCATAATCTCAGCACTTTGGGAGGCCGAGGCAGCCTGTTACCTCAGGTCAGGAGTTCCAGACCAGCCTCGTCAACATGGTAAAACTCTGTCTCTACTAAAAATACAAAAATAAGCAGGGCATGGTGGTGGGTGCCCGTAATCCCAATTACTCAGGAGGCTGAGGCAGAAGAATTGCTTGGGCCCTGGAGGCAGAGGTTGCAGTGAGCCAAGAATGTGCCACTGCACTCCAGCCTGGGTGACAGAGCAAGACTCTGTCAAAAAGATAAACAGAAAAGAAAAAAGAAAGAAAGAATAATAACACAAGGATGTGCAATTGACGCAGGGCAGGCGAGCCCTGAATTGGGCTTAGCCCAGGAGGGTTCTTGGTTTTGCTCAGGAAAGAATTTAACAGCTACCTGGTGGAAGAAAAGCTCTATTAAGGTGGCAGTGTTGTTACAGCTCCCTGACTGCTCCCACAGAGTAGAGCCACCCCAAAGGCAGTATGCCGAGGGCAGTGTTCAAAGACAAGTCTGCAGTCATATTTATAATCTTTTAATTACATACAAATTAAGGGGCAGATTATGCAGAAATGTCTAGAAAAAGGGTGGTAACTTCCAGGTTGTCGGATCATTGCCATGGAAAGGCGTAGTAAGCTCTGGGTGTTGCCATGACGATGGTAAACGGACATGGCACACTGATGGCGTGTCTTGTAGAAAGCTACTTCTGCCCTATCCTTGTTTTGACTACTCCTCAATATGGTCCCATATCAGAGCCCCACCTCCAGAGTCAAGCCCCACCTACCTCACAATTATTATGTATCAGGTTTTTAAAAGATAACACAAGGAAGGCTGAGCATAGTGGCTCATACCTTAATCCTAGCACTTTGGGAGGCTGAAGTGGGCAGATCACTTCAGATCAGGAGTTTGAGACTAGCCAGACCAACACAGTGAAACCCATCTCTTCTAAAAATGCAAAAGAAAACTCCCAGCACTTTGGGAGGCCAAGGCGGGTGGATCACAAAGTCAAGAGATCGAGACCATCTTGGTCAACATGGTGAAACCCCATCTATAATAAGAATATAAAAAAAATTAGCTGGGCATGGTGGCGTGTGCCTATAATCCCAGCTACTCAGGAGGCTGAGGCAGGAGAATTGCCTGAACCCAGGAGGCAGAGGTTGTGGTGAGCCAAGATCGTGCCATTGCACTGCGGCCTGGGTAACAAGAGCGAAACTCTGTTTCAAAAAAAATAAAAAATAAATAAATAAAATGCAAAAGAAAACATTAGTTGGGCGTGGAGGAAGGCACCTGTAGTTCCAGCTACTTGGGAGGCTGAGGCAGAATGGCTTGAACCAGGGTGGCAGAGTTTGCAGTAAGCCAAGCACTACTGCACTCCAGCTGGGGGACAGAGCAAGACTCCACCTCAAAAAAAAAAAAAAAAAAAAGAGAATAACACAAGGAAAATAAGCATAGATAATGTCCATCTGGATAATCTGGAATATTTTCAGTCTGGGATCTTGCTGGTGCTTGGAAATGTGTAGGGACACTTTTCAGTTGGTGTGGGGTGGGAGAATGCCCACATATGGTTGGTTGGCTTTCCACAGTCCTGCTAAAGCCTTGCAGTATGCAGAACAAACCCGTCCAGCTAAGAAAAGTCCCACCCAAAATGCTGAGAGCACCTCTGTGCTCAATCAACAATAGAGGCAAAAGGATGCTTGCAAGTAAGTACAGCACATGTATCAGTGCATTTTAAACTCATTATGAAATCATTCTGTAAACCAAAAATAAAATTCTAAGCCCCAGAACCATCTGAAAAGACCCCTCATCTGAGCCAAAGGCATTCCAAATTTAACCTGAAAAACTAGTTCAGGCCGGGCGAGGTTGCACGTACCTGCAGTCCTAGCTACTCAGGAGGCTGAGGTGGGAGGATGGCTTGAGCCCAGGAGTTCTGGACTGTAGTGCACTATGCCCATTGGGTGTCCACACTAAGTTCAGCATTAATATGGTGACCTCCCAGGTGTCCCCACACCAGGTTGCCTAACAAGGGGTGAACTGGCCCAGGTTGGAAATGGAGCAGGTCAAAATTCCCATGCTGATCAGTAGTGGGACTGTGCCTGTGAATAGCCACTGCACTTCAGCCTGGGCAACATAGTGAGACCCTGTCTCTTAAAAAAAAAAAAAAAAAAAAAACATTCAGGACATGATCAGAAGGGGAGCCAGACATACCTCATGATTCTCTCTTCCCTTTGGAATTTAGGCACAGCTGACTAGCATTGACATCAACACAGACCTTAAGACAGGTAGAACACACTCTTTAAGTCTGATAAGAAACATTTACAGTCTCTCTCTCTAACGTCTGCTACCTGGAGGCTTACTCTGCGAGATGAAACCTTGGTCTCCACAACCCCTTATCTTTTTTTATTTTTTGAGATGAAGTATCACTCTGTTGCCCAGGCTGGGTGCAATGGCATGATCTCGGCTCACTGCAACCTCCACCTCCTGGGTTCAAATGACTCTCCTGTCTCAGCCTCCCAGGTACCTGGGATTACAGGTGTGCGCCACCACACCTGGCTAATTTTTTTTGTATTTTTGTAGAGACAGGGTTTCACCATGTTGGCCAGGTTGGTCTTGAACTCCTGACCTCAAGTGATTCACCAGCTTTGGCCTCCCAAACTATTGGGATTACAGGCATGAGCCACAGCCAGGGCCCACAATCTCTTATCTTAACCCAATCCCTTATCTTAACCAATCTTTCTATTGATTCCAAGTCTTTAGATAATTCTTTCGACCAAATGTATAAAACAACCAAGCTGCAGCCTTGGGCACATGTTCTCAGGATTTCCTGAGGGCTCAGTCACCAGCCATTGGCCACTCTTATTTGGCTCAGAATAAATCTCTTCAAATATTTAACAGTTTAAATCTTTCAGTCAACAGTTCCTACTCCCCAGTGTTAATGTTATAAGCAATACAGTAAAATTGGACAATGTGGTCTTTGAAAAACTTGGGTCCAAGGGCGGTAGCTCACGCTTTTATTAATCCCAGCACTTTGGAAGGCCAACACGGGTGGATCACCCAAGGTGAGGTGAGGAGTTCCAGACCAGCTTGGCCAACATGGCAAAACCCCATCTCTGTTAAAGCAAAAGAAGAAAAAAAAGAAAGAAAAAAGAAAACTAGGTTGGCGTGGTGGCGCGCACCTGTAGTTCCACCTAAGCTGGAGGCTGAGGCAGGAGAATTGCTTGAACCCCAGAGGCGGAGGTTGCAGTGAGCGGAAATCATGCCACTGCACTCCTGCCTGGGCGAGAGAGCAAGATTCCATCGCAAACAAAAAACCTTGAAAAAGCCCTGGCAGCCTTTAATCAAGTAAAAACCTGCATTTTACTACTTGCTCCAGTTGCAGGCCTTCAGTGAGAAGAAATGGAAATGCAAATCCCTTTGTTGTAGGAAACAGATCTCAAGTAGCAGTTTTGTTGCTAAGACCTCAGGTAAACGTGGGGGCTGTGCTGCTAGCCTAGAGAAGGAGCCGAAGTTTTCCAACAGGAGCAGTCCTTCCGGGTCACCGCACCCGGATCCAGCTTCCCGGGTTTCCGAAGACTCTGAGCTGTTGCCTTAGACCCCGTTCCGTGCCACACCTGGGGCTCCGGCTTTTCTCCCCGACGCATGCTCTCCACAGCTAGGGCAGCAGAGACCCCCGCAGAGCCGGAAGAGGCGGAGCGCTGGACGGCGGCGGGAAAAGAGCGCGCAGAAGGGCTTCTGCCACTGCGCCACCTCGCCTGGCCCCGTCCCACCGCTAGCCGCGCCACTTTTGCCTCCGCCCTGCCGCCTGAAGCGCCATGCCCGTCGCCGGCTCCGAGCTGCCACGCCAGCCCTCGCAGCCCGCCGCCCAGGAGCTGGACGCCCAGCCGCGGCCGCCTCACGGGGAGCTGCAGTACCTGGGGCAGATCGAGCACATCCTTCGCTGCGGCGTCAGGAAGGATGACCGCACCGGCACCGGGACCCTGTCGGTGTTTGGCATGCAGGCGCGCTACAGCCTGAGAGGTAACAGGCGGCAAGGAGGGAGGCGTGGCTGGGGAGAGCGCTCGGGAGCTGCCGAACGCTGAGGACCCGGTTTACTTCTAATTTCAGTCTTGCGAAGGAGGGGACGCATCGTCCTCCCCGCTTTACAGACGCTGAAACTAAGGCTCCCATTAGGGACGTGATTGGCGCTGGGTCACACACGCTGGAGCGACCGCCGGGAGGTGAGCCCGGTCCCAGCGGCTCCGCGGCCTGGGCTCTCACTCACCCCGGCATCACCGGGATGACTGAGACCCCTGAGGCAGGCATGACCGGGCAGCGTTTGTCCCACACTGGAGAGCTGTTTGTCCCACACTGGAGAGCTGCCTGGGCTTGCCCGCGCGCTGTTCTAGAAGTCCTGGCTTTTGCCCCTCCTCTATACTCCCCTGTTGACCATTCCGCTTTGCAGAGTTTTCAAAAACTGGAGCGAAAATGATGTGGGCGGGGCAGTGGCGGCGGGAAGAGGAGAGAACTGAGGCTGGCGCGGGAACTTGGTTTCCTGGCGGCCTCCCATCCGGTCCCCACGAACCAGCTTTCCTCTTACACCTTGAAAAGAGAAATTTGGGAGTCAAATAAGTTCTTATTTGCCCTTTCCTCTTTTCCTCTCAAATAGGATCACCCCAGAGAAAAAATGCCTCTCGGGTTGTTAGCGTCAGGCTTTCCGGGGACAGTGGGGCGGGGCGGGGTGGGCAAAGGACATTAGGCAGCCGGTGGGGTGTTATGTCATCCTGGATCCTGCGCCTGCTGCGTGGGGGAGGGGACTCCACCAAGGTGTGTAAGCCAGGGGCTGACCTGGACCTCTCGAAGAAATGGAGCGCAGCCTTGACACAGGGGTGGAGGTGGTTTTGGGTGGGGGAACCCATTCTTGGTGAGGCGGATTCACTGTAGTTAGGGGAAAAGCCCTCCAGCCCACACCTGTCTAAAGACTGGAATACACACCAGCTGCTGTGGCTGATCCACCTGGAACAGCTTGGGGAGTTTTGTCTGAGCAGCGGGATCCACTTTTCTGCAGCCCCAAGCCCAGGGCCTTTGATGAGCCATAGACCTCATTTTTTTTTTTTTTTGAGACGGAGTTTCGCTCTTGTTACCCAGGCTGGAGTGCAATGGCGCGATCTCGGCTCACCGCAACCTCCGCCTCCCGGGTTCAGGCAATTCTCCTGCCTCAGCCTCCCGAGTAGCTGGGATTACAGGCACTCGCCACCATGCCCAGCTGATTTTTTTGTATTTTTAGTAGAGACGGGGTTTCACCATGTTGACCAGGATGGTCTCGATATCTTGACCTGGTGATCTACCCGCCTCGGCCTCCCAAAGTGCTGGTATTACAGGCTTGAGCCACCGCGCCCGGCCTAGATCTCATTTTAAACCCACCTTGCTGCTTATACATTGAGCAAATTACTTCTCATATAGCTTCCGCATATTTAAAAATGGAGGAAATAATGCTCAGCATGCAATTCTGATAAAAGCAGGTGCTTGCGAAATCTCTCCCTGTTGTCTGAATACCTCAGAGAGTGTGGGATGAATGAGTACTGCATTTAAAGATAAGCTTTTACACTTTATTTCTCTGCGGCTGGACACTTCTGATGCCTCCCTTTTTGTTTCTGGGACACATGCTGGGTGTTTTCTTCACACCGTTGCCACAGGATTAGCACTAGTGGACAGTGGCTGGTAGTTCTTCCCTTTTTCCACATGGCGATTCCTGCCCTGCCCACCATCTCACTGTGTGGAATTCCTGTGTCCAGTAGTCACCAGGGTAGAGGAGTGCTGTCTTAGTCTGAATTGGGTCACTGGTGTGACTTGCAGCATGGGAGCTCCACCCTGATCTATGGCGGCCACTTTGCGGGAATCTAGGCTTTCAGGATGCTCTGGGACTTCACGTCCCAGGGCAGTTTTCTTTCCTGAGGAACGTTGGGTGGCATGATCTGTCTTCCTGTCTTGAAACTGTATGGCAAATTGTTTTTCAGATGAATTTCCTCTGCTGACAACCAAACGTGTGTTCTGGAAGGGTGTTTTGGAGGAGTTGCTGTGGTTTATCAAGGTAAAGGAGTTGCTGCTATTAGAAGTCATTAGTCTGTTCTCAGCACAGCAGCCAGTGCGATCCTTTCAAAAGTCAAAGCGATGGGGTATGGTGGCTCCTGTAATCCCAGCACTTTGGGAGGCCAAGGCAGATCATCTGAGGTCTCGAGTTTGAGACCAGCCTGGCCAACATGGGGAAACCCCTGTCTCTACTAATAACACAAAAATTAGCCAGGTGTGATGGTGCATACCTGTAATCCCAGCTACTTGGGAGGCTTAGGCATGAGAATTGCTTGAACCTGGGAGGTGGAGGTTGCAGTGAGCTGAGATTATGCCACTGCACTCCAGCCTGGGCAACAGAGGGAGAACCCATCTCAAAGAAAAAAACAAACAAACACAAAAGGTCAAAGCATATCATTCTTCACCCTCAATCCTTTAGTGGTTCCATTTCACTCAGTAAAAGCCACGGTCCTTATGGAGTCCCTTTTTCGGCTCTGGCCTTAGCTGCCACTCTCTGCCTTAGCCCTGCTGTTCTCCTTGTGAGTTTTTGAGCACACCGGGACATCCCTAATCCCTGGAACCTTCTCCCCTCACACTTGGCTGCTCCTTTACTTCCTTTGAGACTCTACTTGGGCAAGCCTTCCTAGACCTCCTGGTTTAAGACTGACTTTCCCCCAACTTCCTTGGTTTATCTGCATAGATGAACGTCACCATCTGATGTATGTGAGCCTTTCCCCTCCCCTGTTAGAAGGGGGACAGAAAACAGTAAATAAATAAGTGAAATGTGCTATAAGCTTTGTGAGGGCAGAAGATTTGTTTCTCATGTTCACTATTGTATCCCCAGGGCCTTGAACACAGCTGATCACATAGTAGGACTCAACATATATTGGTTACTAAGTATAGATTACCAGTGTGTTCCCATGTTCATGTAAACTAGGGGAGTCTCTTGAGTAACAAGGTGAACCCCCTTCCAGAGGGCTGAGTAGGTACCTGTGGTCGGGGCCAGAGTGCCATGAAGACAGGCAGCAGTCCAGCCCAGCTCCTCTCTGTTCCATGTTGTGGTCTAGAACCAGTGATGTTCTGACCAGTGCTTGGAAGGTAACTGAGGGGTGGGCTCAAGTCTGGGCTCAGGTCTGGGCTGGATCCTTTCTATAGAGCACTTGGTGTGGCTTGCTTATATGGTCAAGCCGGACGCAAGCCCTCTTATCCCATTTTAGAAAGGGTTTAAATTTGGATCTAGCCCAGTCTGCCTTAGCTCTGTGTTCTTGGGGTATTTTGTTCTGTATTGGCCTATCTCAACCAACAGTGAGCCTTGGATTTGAAACATCAAAAACCTCAAAAGATGACATTCTTTTTTTTTGAGACGGAGTCTCACTGTGTCACCCAGGCTGGAGTGCAGTGGCATGATCTTGGCTCACTGCAACCTCCACCTCCCGGGTTCAAGCAATTCTCTGCCTCAGCCTCCTAAGTAACTGGAATTACAGGCGCCCACCACCACCCCCGGCTAATTTTTGTATTTTTAGTAGAGACAGTGTTTCACCATCTTGGCCAGGCTGGTCTTGAACTCCTGACCTCGTGATCCACCCACCTCAGCCTCCCAAAGGGTTGGGATTACAGGTGTGAACCACCACGCCCAGCAATGGCATTCTTAAATTGGCTAGAGCCAGGTCTGAATAGATGAAAAGGAGAGACTTTTGAAGCAATATGTAAAAGATTGAGAAACAATCTGTTGGAAATAAAATCAGAACAGACTCAACAATAGAAAGGGAGGAAGCAAGATGCTCAGAAATGAAATGCATTCCCCTGTTTTCTTTTATTTTTTTTTTTTTTTTTTTTTTTTTTTTGAGAATTAGTCCTGCTCTGTCACCCAGGCTGGAATATAATGGTGTAATCTCGGTTTATTGCAACCTCCAACTCCTGGGTTTAAGCAATTCTCTTGCCTCAGCCTCCTGAGTAGCTGGGATTACAGGTGACCTCTACAATGCCCAGCGAATTGTTTTGTATTTTTAGTAGAGACAGGGTTTCTCCATGTTGGCCAGGCTGGTCTCAAACTCCTGACCTCAGGTGATCTGCCCGCCTTGGCCTCCCAAAGTGCTGAGATTACCAGAGTGAGCCACCGCACCCAGTCCACCTGTTTTTAACTTAATGCTTGAATTCAGAATTCTAAGAAGTCCTTGCCAGGAACGTCAGACTCACCTCTGATAGTCGGAGTTGCTCCATTGGCAACTTGATCAAATACAGGAGTCAATGCACCTGCACTGCTGCTGGGATCTGTGGGCAGATGGGTGGTAGGGCTACACAGTAGCTAGGATCTATTCAGTGCCAAGCATTTTGCTTGCATCATCTAATCCTCGCAATAATATGGTGAATATAGTATTCATTTTATAAATGAGGACAGTGAGGTCGGGGAGAGGGAATCGGCAGGGGGGAGAGGGAATCGGCAGGGGTAAGAGGAGAAGGTAGGTGGAAGGGCCAGGCATCGAGCCCAGCTCTACATGGCATCAGCCTTGCTTGTTAGGGCACATCATACCCAGAGGCACTGGAGACAGATGGAGTCTTTCCTTGACCTTGAAGCATGGCGAAGATACAGGTTAAGGTGTCATAGGCCAAATCTAATGGGATGAAATGTAAGAGTATAATAAACATAAGGCTTTGTACTTGGCAAAAAATAAAAAAGAGCAGCTTGTGTAAGTACAGATTGGAGGGAAACACAGCTTTATAGTGGCACACATGTGAGTAAATTAGGGTCCAAATTTAGTCCAATGTGACATTTATTTGCCAGTAAACTAAAATACTGATTAGTCTGATTATTAGGAATATCCTATATGCCGGGTAGGAGATACACTGGACAGATTGCACGTAGGCATTAAATTCATTTTGGGGGATCATATGTAAATAACATATTTGATTAAGAAACATATAACTCAGATCGGTGGAATACTTAAAGCACTTGGAGGTGTTTAGTCTAGAAAGCTTAGTTGAGGGGAATGGAAGAAAACATCTGAGAGGATTATTCCAAAGAAGGGATCAGACTGTCCTAAAGCCCTCAGAAATCTGGGCTGGGACCAGCCTGCTTAAAGATAGGATGGGCTCCATGTGAGTGGTGTCAGGTGCCCACCTCCCAGCAAGTGAGTAAGGACTGGAGGGTATCTTGTAGGGAGTGTCTCGGGGGGATCAACTGAAATGGCTCAGAATTCATTCGGATGCCTGCTCTGCTCTCCTGTCTCTTTCAGGGATCCACAAATGCTAAAGAGCTGTCTTCCAAGGGAGTGAAAATCTGGGATGCCAATGGATCCCGAGACTTTCTGGATAGCTTGGGATTTTCCGCCAGAGAAGAAGGGGATTTGGGCCCAGTTTATGGCTTCCAGTGGAGGCATTTTGGGGCAGAATACAGAGATATGGATTCAGGTGAGAAGACAGAACAATGCCTTACATTTCCTGAGTGCACTTGCTAGCATGTGTTTGCTCTATGGTTTTAGATAAGGTCCAGGTGATGAGTCAGTGTCACAGGAGCTGATACATAGCTTTGACCTTGTGAGGGATGGTGCCAGGTTAAGCCACAATTAAACCTCATGAAGGCCATTTCACACTCTTGATGATTAGCAATTACTGGGTTCTTGGTACTTTCCATACTTGTGTCATTGGCAGATAGCTGCATGGTTGGTGTTTGTATTGGGAAATGGGAAGTTCAGCCGTGGAACAAGGGACAAAATGCCCCCATTGCTTTGTGGTATCTTTAATCTCCTTTTCAAGGCTGAGCCACAGCATGCTGTAGGTGGTGCTGCTGTGAAGCACAGTGCCAGGGTCACTCTCTGCTCCCAGCTCTGCAGAGGTAGACAAAGAATGCAACATCTCACTCCTGGACTCACTTTCCTGTTACTGTTCATGTCAACCTCTTGCAGAATGTCACAGAGCCCATCCCATCCCACCTGTCCCTAGGAAAATCAAATGCCTACCTTGGATGTGGGGTATGATGTGCAATTTACTAGCTGGGCAGAGACCAACAACCTGGAGAGTGTGTCTCATCTAAGGGGACAGTCACATCTCATCCCCAGCCACCTGAGGAATTTGGGCCTGGTGGTGTCAGAATTCTTCAGTAAAAACCTAAAATCTACATTTTATGTGCAATCATGAGGTTTCTTTTTTGAGATAGTCTTGCTCTGTCACCAGGCTGGAGTGCAGTGGCGCGATCTTGGCTTACTGCAATCTCTGCCTCATGGGTTCAGGCGATTCCCCTTCCTCAGCCTCCCGAGTAGCTAGGATTACCAGCGTGTGCCACCATGCCCAGCTAATTTTTTGTATTTTAGTTGAGACGGGGGTTTCACCATGTTGGCCAGGATGGTCGTGATCTCCTGACATCATGCTCCACCCGCCTTGGCCTCCCAAAGTGCTAGGATTACAAGAGTGAGCCACTGCGCCCTTGTAACATTTAAAAGATCTTATGAGACGTCACGAAGTTTAAAAATGCTGTGTGGACCTAGAATAAGCAAGATCCTAAAGGCAGAAAGTAGAATGGTGGTTGCCAGGGACTGGGGAGAAGAGAGGGATGGGGAGTTCTTGTTTAATGGACACAGAGCTTTTGTTAGGGATGACGAGAAAGTTTGGGAGATGGATAGTGGTGATGGTTGCACAACGTCGGGAATGTACTTAATGGCTCTGAATTGCACACATAAAAATGGTAAGTTTAATGTTACGTATACTTTATCACAATGAAGAAAGATGCTGTGTGGGTCAAGTTGTTTGTACAGGTAAGTGTTCTGCAGGTCGTTGCCTGCACCTCAGTGTAGGGTGTCCTTCCTAGGATGTGAGGCTGCTCCCCTGGCTTAATGATGCTTTCAGTCCTACCTAGTATTCAATTATTTCTTGTCGCTTAAGAGGCCTAATAAAATTATGGTCTTAGTTTACAGTTGTATGACTGCTTAGCTGTTGGATTTTAGTAGCGAAGTTTGTCTCTTTTTGTTTTTAATTTTGTTTTACAGATTTCACAGGAACTTTATTTTTTTTAATGCACAGAAAGTTTCCCTGGACTCTCTACCCAGTTTACCCCAGTAATAATATCTTGGGTAACATCTTGCATACATTGACACTGGTGCATTCCTCAGAGCTGTCAGATTTTGCTAGTTTTACATGCACTTGTGGGTGTGTATATTTGCAATTTTAGTGCAGGTAGATGGATGGAACCACCATAATCAAGTTACAGAACTACACCACCACAGTTCATCTTAAAAATCTTTGATGTTACCTTTTTTGGAACATCAAAGTACTTTCTCCCAAAATTTTGAGAACTACTGAACCAGAATATAGTCTGACACTAATAGGTAGAAACTTAACCAGAGGAGATGATGAAGCTCTACACTTCAGTTAACAAATCACTTCTCAGGCCAGGCGCAGTGGCTCACACCTGTAATCCCAGCACTTTGGGAGGCCGAGGCGGGTGGATCACGAGGTCAAGAGATCGAGACCATCCTGGTCAACATGGTGAAACCCCATCTCTACTAAAAATACAAAAAAATTAGCTGGGCATGGTAGCGCGTGCCTGTAATCTCAGCTACTCAGGAGGCTGAGGCAGGAGAATTGCCTGAACCCAGGAGGCGGAGGTTGCGGTGAGCCGAGGTTGTGGTGAGCCGAGATCGCGCCATTGCACTCCATCCTGGGTAACAAGCGAAACTCCGTCTCAAAAAAAAAAAAAAAAAACAAATCACTTCTCAGCTTCCAGTTCCATCTCAGAAGGAAGGAAAGGGATTAAAATCCAGAGACCAGAAACGGGAGCAAAGTAGAAGGTGATATAATCTTTATAGAGGTTTCCTGATGTTTACAAGTCAGTTGTGTGCTGAGCTGCTGAACTCTAATTTTAGGTGGAAGTGTCAGAAGCATGCTGCTGAGGTGATAGAAAGGAATCCATGGTTCTCTGTTAGTTGGAAAGTATATAGAATGCTGTATTCTACATAAGATTATAATACTTTCTGTGAGGCAAGGATAAACTAGATTTTTTCTAGTGAAATTGTGGCAAGAATGGTTGATGGGTTTAGAGCCTAAGTTCGTGGGAGCACTAGAAGAATTTAAGATTGTTGAGACTGGAAAGGGTTAGCTCAGGGGAACAGGAGGAGGTGACTCCATGACAACCAAATATTTAAAGGACTGTGTAGAAGAGGAAATAGACTTTGTTAGGGCTCCAGAGTACAGAGCCAGCAGCCACACAGGGCCTTGAACTCAACCTATTGAGATCTACAAACTTCAGAATGCACTAGATATCTTGTAGCCATAGGTCAAGGGGGACCCTGGGTGAGAGGCTGTAAGAGATGACCTCTAAGGCCATCTCATGACCTTTGTGATTAATGTGTGTACCTGTCCTTTTTGACACTTATATAGATTATTCAGGACAAGGAGTTGACCAACTGCAAAGAGTGATTGACACCATCAAAACCAACCCTGATGACAGAAGAATCATCATGTGCGCTTGGAATCCAAGAGGTTGAAAGAACCCCATCGTCTTCATTTATACTAACCATACTTTTAGAGGGAAGTGATGTGGTTTTGTGCAGAGCCACTGTAGGGAGGCAGGACCCTGGGAACTTCCCCCAGCCACATAGCTGATTGTGTGACCTTGAGCAAGTCTCATTTAGCTCCACTTTCACCTTCAGATCATGAGGTTGGGCCCAGATGATCTTAATTTGTGTATTTATACTCATTCTTACTCCAAAAAGGGCTTTAAATTGCCTAGAAACTACATGTAAGATCTTAACATTTTAAATAGAAGCAGATGAAGTTCTTGGTCGCTGCCACCTCACTATTATTAACATTTTAAACAATTTTATTGTAAAATTCAACTCTCCCAGGGTGTAGAGCCAGGAGTGGTGGCTCACACCTGTAATTCCAGCAACTCCAGAGGCCAAGGTGAAAGGATCAGTTGAGCCCAGGAGTTCGAGACTATAGTGAATCATGATCATGCCACTGCACTCCAGTGTGGGCAACAGAGTGAGACCCTGAGTATTAACAAAAACGAACAAAAAAACCTCTATCATCAGGATGTCATAAGTACTTAAGGTGGAATATTTGCATCTGTAATGGAGAGGTGTTTTTTTGTTTTTGGTTTTTTCTTTGAGACAGTCTCACTCTGTTGCCCAGGCTGGAGTTGGGTGGTGTGATCCCGGCTCATGGCAACCTCCGCCTCCCGGGTTCAAGTGATTCCCATGTCTCAGGCCCCAAGTAGCTAGAACCACAGGTGCACCAATTTTTGTAATTTTAGTAGAGACAGAGTTTTGCTATGTTGGCCAGGCTGGTTTTGAACTCAAGTTGGCCTCAAATGATTTTCCCACCCTGGCCTCCCAAATTGTTGGGATTACAGGCATGAACCCCTGCGCCCAGCCATGTAATAGACTTTTAATACAGGAGGCTGTACCTGAAGCACCAGTTTCCTGTGGCACATGGAATTATTCCTGCTGCATTTGTAACTCAGTGCCATGAAGGCAGCCCAGATCCTGTCAGCTCTGATGGAAGAGCATTGCTTCAGCCGTAAATGTACATCTGCAGAAACCTCGTGCCGATGGACAGTCTCTCAGCTCCATGCTGTTGCTGCAGGGGCTGTGGGTTATGGACATCCATGCAGCCTGGTGGCTTGCTTTCCTGGTCTCCATTGTATGAGCTGGCTTCTGTTTCTCTCCTGTTTTACTTTGCCTTTAACTGTGGTCTTTCAAACCACCACCCCTCCTTATCTTCCTCTGTGCTGGTTCCTCAGATCTTCCTCTGATGGCGCTGCCTCCATGCCATGCCCTCTGCCAGTTCTATGTGGTGAACGGTGAGCTGTCCTGCCAGCTGTACCAGAGATCGGGAGACATGGGCCTAGGTGTGCCTTTCAACATCGCCAGCTACGCCCTGCTCACATACATGATCGCGCACATCACGGGCCTGAAGGTGGGCTATCTTGGGAAAGGTGATTGTTGCTAGCCTAACACACTGAGCTCTACAGTTTTTTAATATGAAAAAACAAATAGCAGAGAGTTTAGTCTCTGAATAGTTTTTAAATTTGCTATAAGTAAGACATGAACTGGCGTTTACTTTGAAACCTGTGGAGCTTTTCTGGCCCTGTGGTCTATATATACTAACAGGTCTGTAGAGATTGTTTGTGGTACAGCTTCTGTGAATTTTCTCAAAAGCTATGCTGAGGTTGGGCATGGTAGCTCATGCCTCTAACCCCAGCACTTTGGGGGACTTAGGCAGGAGCAAGCGCTTGAGGTCTGAAGTTCAAGACCAGAGTGGGCATCATAACAAGACCTTTCGCCACAAAAAAATTAAAAAGCTACACTGGTTAAATTATTTTTAAAAAAGCCTTGAGGTGTCTGCATACTCTAATGATTTTAAATGATGTTTTAAAGGAATTGAAATTAACATGCTGTTCCGCTTTCTGCCCTGGGGTTTATAGCCAGGTGACTTTGTACATACTTTGGGAGATGCACATATTTACCTGAATCACATCGAGCCACTGAAAATTCAGGTAAGAATTAGATGTTATACTTTTGGGTCTGGTATCTTAATAAAAGGTTGATTATGGAACAGGCGTCTGCTCAACACTGTGTCCAAGATAAAGATGACTGCTCTGAATGTGGGGCTTCAGTTTAGGGAGAAATGGTGGGTTGGTGGGTGGGTGGGTAGGACAAGGCAGGCATCTGCCTCAGCAACCATGGGCACTTAACATGCCAGGTGCTGTAAGGTACTAAGCACCAATACCAGAGAGGGAAGAGCCACATTCAAGCCAGGAAATTATCCAGAAGGGGGCATTTTAACTCATATTTTAACCTGAAGGAGAATTGAAATGCAAATATTTTTCTTTTTTTCTTTTTTTTTTTTTTTTTTGAGACAGAGCCTTGCTCTGTCTGCCAGGTTGGAGTACAGTAGCTCAATCATGGCTCACTGCAAACTCTGCCTCCCGGGTTTAAGTGATTCTCCTGCCTCAGTCTCCTAAGTAGCTGGGACTACAGGCACATGCCATCATGCCCAACTAATTTTTGTATTATTTGTAGAGATAGGGTTTTACCATGTTGGCCAGGCTGGTCTTGAACTCTGGACTTCATGTGATCTGTTCTCCTTGGCCTCCCAAAGTGCTGGGATTACAGGCATGAGCCACTGCCCTGAGCACAAATGTTTTTCATTAATTTTACATTAAGTGTACTATTTAGGTCTGAACTTGAAAAGTCTGTCCAAATCCCTAAGTCATAGCAGCCAACAAATGATTTGAAATGGGAATAAAAGTATAAGTTCATCTGCTTCATGAGCCCTAAGGAAAAAAAGACTCAGAACCAGAAACCTTTTAGCACCTTCCAGGTTAGATCCAGATTTTAAAAGTTACTCCTGGGTGTGGTGTCTCAGGCCTGTAATCCCAGCATTTTGGGAGGCTGTGGCAGGTGGATCATGAGGTCAGGAGTTCAAGACCAGCCTAGCTAAGATGGTGGAACCCCATCTCTACTAAAAATACAACAAATTAGCTGGACATGGTGGTGAGCCACTAATCCCAACTAATCAGGAGGCTGAAGCAGAGAATTATTTGAACCCGGGAGGCAGAGGTTGTGGTGAGCAGAGATCGTGCCACTGCACTCCAGCCTGGGCAACAGATGTCTCAAAAAAAAAAAAAAAGTCACTGCTTTGAGGGAGCTTGGCTGCTCTTGAGTGGAGGCCGACTTCAGGCTTATTCTCTCTGGCTTTCTGCTCCAGTCATTTTTAGACATAGTAGCAGGTTGTGACCTGTCTTCACATCCTAATTGCCACTGTCTGTTCATCCCAGGAATCCTGGCTTTCATCCCTTTCTGTTCACTGTCCATGCATTCATCTTCCCTTCTTTCTGCCAGGGACAGTTGGGTTAGGGATTGTGGAATTCAAGCAAACTTAGAGCTACTATGAGTTACAGATTGACTGTGTTCCTGTCTTTAATAAATTTGCCAAGAGTAATTATAAGAACTTACACTTGATGAGGCACCAGGCTCCTGACACTGTAATGTCACTCTCGATCTGTGCAAGAGAACAGCGGGTTATGCTCCAATCATGTTACATAACCTACAGCAAGGTATCTAGAGCATCATACTCCTGTTAAATAAAACTTTGTTGATCACATCCTCTGTACTTGTTTCATGGACGTGAGGAGCAATTACAGCAGGTTGTACCGTTGTGGCAAAATAATGGTCTTACTTTGTTTTTAGCTTCAGCGAGAACCCAGACCTTTTCCAAAGCTCAAGATTCTTCGAAAAGTTGAGAAAATTGATGACTTCAAAGCTGAAGACTTTAAGGTTGAAGGGTACAATCCGCATCCAACTATTAAAATGGAAATGGCTGTTTAGGATGCTTTCAAAGGAGCGTGAAGGATATTATCAGTCTTTAGGGGCTGGGCTGGATGCCAAGGTAAAAGTTCTTTTTGCTCTAAAAGAAAAAGGAACTAGGTCAAAAATCTGTCTGTGACCTATTAGTTATTAGTGTTTAAGGATGTTGCCACTGGCAAATGTAAGTGTGCCAGTTCTTTCCATAATAAAAAACTTTGAGTTAACTCCCTGAGGGTATCTGAAAATGCTGAGATTATGAACAAAGTGAGGAGAATGAAATGTATATGCTTTTAGCAAAAAATATGTAGGTACATTTCAATCCCATGTCTTTATAAAGAAGGTTGGTGAATTTTGAGAATTTCACAAGCTTTTCTCTCAAATCTAAGGGTGCTGAGTAACACCATCAATCATAATGTAGACTGGTTATCGTACATTTAATGTTATAATTGTTTTATAAGTTGCTATAATAAAGAAGTATTCTGCATTTGTCCACACTTTGTTCATTCTGTGTTGCCACTTATCTGCTCAGTTCCTGCTTAAAATAGATTTAACAGAATTCTCCTCAATAAACATTTGCTGTATTCTGGCTTGGGTGCTACTTAAAAGAATATAGTTTAGAAACAGTGCCTATATTTTGCCCTGTTTTTCCATGAGCCATCTCATTTTAACTGCATCTTATCCTCAAACTATAATAACCATTTAGGAAAGAGGTTTTTTGTTGTTTGTTTTTTTAAACTTACAACCTTAAAGGGTTATTTTAAAATAGTCTATGAAATACCATTTTGCCCTAATTAGCTTCAGCATGGTATGAACTCTAATAATATGTTTAGATCAAGCAAGAAAAAGATCCAAAACCACTTTGGGGCTAATCAGTGAAATCTTTTTCCCTTTGTTGCATACCAGATACCCTCTGGTGTTGCACAACTATTTTTATTCTGCTAATTTATGACAAGTGTTAATAGAACAGGAATTATTCCAACAAGTTATATAACACATTGCTTATTTTCAAAGTACAGTTTAATGTCTAGGTGCCAGCCCTTGATAGACATTTTTTTAGCAACATCTTGGACTTTGGGTTAGTTAAATCTAAACTTATTCAAGGATTAAGTAGGATAATGTGTATTGATTTGTTAAATGAATCAAGTAGTAATTACTGAGCTGATTCCTGAGGGTGTATGACTTTTAGCTGAACTAAAAGTTCATCTTGGTAGGTGCGATCTTGGATTTTTAAAAAATCTGTTTTTGTAAAACTTATATCCAAGAAAAAGTGTTGGGGCTGTACAGTTAATTTTCTTGAGCAGCAAGGAGTTTCTTCCAAACTTCACCATCTGGATATTGGTGTTTCTTTACAGATTCCTCCTTCATTTCTGTTGAGTAGCCAGCATCCTATCAAAGACAAAAACATTAAGTCACGTTAACAACCACCTGGAACAAAAACAGATTTTATATATTTCTGCTGCTCCAAGAAATGCTTTTACATTTAAGCCAGAGGTGATTAGTTTTTTTTTGTTTTTATTTTTTTCTTTTTAGATGTAGTCACTCCATCTGTCCCCCAGGCTGCAGTGCAGTGGTGCGATCTTGGCTTACTGCAGCCTCTGCCTCCCAGATTCAAGTGATTCTCCTGCCTCAGCCTCCCTGTGTAGCTGGGATCACAGGCATCCACCACCATGCCTGGCTAATTTTTTGTATTTTTATTAGAGATAGGGTTTCACTGTGTTGGCCAGGCTCGTTTGAACTCCTGACCTCAAATGATCCACCAGCCTTGGCCTCCCAAAGTGTTGGAATTACAGGTGTGAGCCACCACACCCAGCCCTGAATTAATATTTTTAAGTTTTGACATTGTTGGAAATAGGGCAGAGGAACACATTTTACTGGCTACTTGCCAGGGTTAGTTAACTAAACTCACCAAACTCTGATAATAGCTTGACCTCTCTAGGTGAAAATGAGCCATGATCTCTTGAACATGATCAGAATAAATGGCCCCAACCACACGATTGTAGTCAAAACCTTTTAGGTCACTAACTTGCTAGACGGTGCCAGTCTTTTTGCACAAGGAGTGCACATGTTAAGGTCTCCACTAGTGAGGAAAGGCTAATGTTAGAGAAGCCTTGTCAGAGGCAATTTAACCTCCAAGCCCTAGCCTTCAGGCCTGAGGATTTTGATACTGACAAACTGAAGAACGATTTGTTTCTGGATATTGCAAATAAACCGGAGTCAAAGTTTGGTGCTCTATTGTCTAGTTCATGAGACAGGCATGGTAGTGGCTGGCAGCATCTCCTCTGCAGAGTTCCCCAGGCCACAGCTCACCTTGGGAGGCATGTAGGAAGCCCGCTGGATCACCACAGGATACTTGAAATGCTCATGCAGGTGGTCAACATACTCACACATCCTAGGAGGAGGGAATCAGATTGGGGCAATGATGTCTGAAGTCAGACCACATGGTGCTAACTTAAAGTAGAAGGGACAAGTACCATTGAAATGACAGTCGGCCAAGGCTTAGCTGTGTTACCACAAGTTTCTAGGCAAGCCCTTACATCTCTGTGTCTCAGATGCTTTTCATCTAAAATGCAGCAATGTGGGGTGGGGACTTAGATGAAATGAGCCACAAAGTCACTTGAGAGGTTTTGTGATGCTTTTTAAAAAGCACAAATTCAGACTCTAAATATCTGGAATTATTTGGGTTCCTTTGGTCAAAAGTTAGATGAATAGATTAAAATCACCAAATGCTGTGATCTATTTTTCAAGAAGCATTTGTATTTTTTCATATGGCTGCAGCAGTTGCGAGGGGTTTGGGGGTTTTTTGGCAGGCAGGGTTGGGAGGCCATTTTGACATTGCCTCATTTGAGCATCTAGGAAGCATTAGCACTGTGAAGCTTTCTCAGTGCAGTTTGCACCTGGAAAACAATCCAGACAGGCCCATGGGACCACAATTTAGGGAGGTGGGACACACCTCTGTCCAAAAACCCAGATGTCTAAGGAACCAAACCCAGGTAAAATACATTCCATACTCCCCACTCAAAAAATGAAATCACCAAATGAGGTTCCTTTCAGGTATACAAATGATTTACATGAAGAGCAGAGGATTTAGAATCAGATCAATCTCTGTTCAGCTTCTGTGTCAGCCGCTTTGGATTTTTGAGGCTTGGGGCAAGTGCCTGAACACTGCTGCCTGACTTCCATCACCTGTTATTGAACAGCTGTGATAGGCAGGCTGATATGGTTTGGATTTGTGTCCCTGCCCAAATCTTATGTTGAACTGTCATCCCCAATGTTGGCAGCAGGGCCTGCTGGGAGGTGACTGGATGATGGGAGGTGGTCCTTCATGAATGGTTTAGCACCCTTTCTCTGGTGCTGTTCTCAAGATAGTGAGTTATCACAAGATCTGGTGTTTAAAAGTGTGTAGCATCTTCCTCGCCCCACTCTGTTCCTCCTGCTCTCGGCCATGAGAAATGCTTGTTTCCCCTTCACCTTCCACCATGATTTTAAGTTTCCAGAAGCTGAGCAGAAGCTGCTGTGCTTCCTGTGCAGCCTGCAGAACTGTGAGTCAATTAAATGTGTTTTTTTTTTTTTTTTTTTTTTTTTTGAGACGGAGTTTTGCTCTTGTCGCTCAGGCTGGAGTGCAGTGGCACAATCTTGGCTAACTGCAACCTCTACTTCCCGGGTTCAAGCAATTCTCTGGTCTCAGCCTCTCCAGTAGCTGGGACTACAGGCGCGCACCACCAGCCAATTTTTGTATTTTTAGTAGAGATGGGGGTTTCACCGTGTTAGCCAGGATAATCTCAATCTCCTGACCTCATGATCTGCCTGCCTCGACCTCCCAAAGTGCTGGGATTACAGGTATAAGCCATTACACCCAGCCTACCTCTTCTTTATAAATGACCCAGTCTCAGGTATTTATTTATTGCAGAGCAAGAATAGACTAATACAGTATAAAATAGTTCGGCTATATTAAAAGACAGCACCTGTCTACTCACCTAAAGAGAGAAACTTACCATTATTACTGAAGCCTCCTGTGTACCCCTAAGGATCCCATTTACCTCTCACAGTGCTAAATTAGGTGTTTTCCTTTCTCAATGCATGCTTTTGTGTCTTTGCTATATACTTGCAGTGATCTTTCTGTGAGACATTTAATTCCAGGAGATAAGAAAAGCATAACAAGCAAAGCAAAGCCATATCTGTGCAGATGACTGGGGGAGATTGTCCTAATTTAAAGGCCACCTGGGCATTCTGAAAATAAGATGAAATAAATGTGCGTGCAGATCATGGAAGATTCCAGCGTTGGGAAGAGGAGATTGGACGGAAGTACAGAACACACGTGATGAAAACAGGATTTGGTTGAGGGAGTAGTGTGACTGCAAGCCTCACCTTCAACATACTTAAAAAGTAAAGTGAGTCAGCTACCAGACCCCATCCTAGCAGGCAAAATGACTGTTCACTGGTGGGTCTGTACTTTTACTTCCCGTGTGGAGAAGTGGAAGCAAAACCAACTCTGCCTGAGAGTTATAGGACGGGCCCGTGGACAAGGTCTTGGTAATTTTGGTCATGAAGGCAGAATTTACAAGCTCTGGCCTGGATTGAGGAACCCTACTGAAGCAGAAAGTATTAACGCCACATTACTGACCTGTTTTTAAGGCTTGCCGAGACTGATACATAGTCAAATATAATCAGGTGCTGCACCAGTTCACAGAGGCCAACTCCACCAGCATGGGGGCAAACAGGAACTAAAAGGAAATCGTTTCTATTTAATGCCAAGAGTAGGGCAGAGGGAGGAAGGGACGAAAGTGAACTTTCTGGTTTTTCTTATTGCTCACAAGTGATTAAATCATTCATTAATATTTAGGAATGAAATTCCAAGATGAAAATCATCAATTCCTGGATTAAGGCTATATGAAAGTTAGGGAAAAAATTGAAATGGCAAACTACAGACTCCTGTGCATGTGAATTCCAAGCCATCAAGGGAGGTGTCTGATTAGTGGGGAAATGAAGGTCTCGTCTGCAGCTGCTGCAGTGCCCTTACTTTCAAACTTTTTGGCCATCAGCAATACTGAGAGGTTCTCATTGATACTGCCCAGTCTGCAACTGTCAATCTGGAGGAATTGCAGGGCCTTCACCTGTAGGAGTTGCTTAAATATCACTCTATTGTGGCACTGGAAATATAATTGAAAACACCAACAGAAGAGTCAGCCTTGGCCTTCAGGATCTCTAAACCTGGCAATGCAGCTACTCTATGCCAGTCATTATTCATCAGTGGCCTTCAGGAAGCCCAAATTGTATTTCTTCTTTGTTCTCACTGGGCATGAGGCAAGCTTTTATAGTGTGGGAAGGGACCTTGTGCTCACTTTACAAATCTGCTAACGCAACAGTGTGAGTCAGGTCAAAATCACACTGGCTCGCCCTTTATGAGGGAATGACTGTCACAGTGAGTGACAAGTGGGAGATGAACCGAAGCATCAGGATGAAATACAGTGACAGTGATGAGTAGGTGGCACAGACGACAACACGGTGCTATGGCAGAACAGTATTGCTCCTTTTGCTGGGAAAACTGAGAATCTGCTCCTCACGCTGCTCTCCTCATAGGCTGACTGCCGCAGGTTTTGGCAGACACTTGGGCTTCATTTATAAGCTCAAAAAGTGAACACAGTCATGTTTATTCAATTTGAAAGCTGGCTTTCTTAAAACCATTTTCTGCACTTGCAATAGCAACTTAAAATTGCTGCCTTGTCAATTTCAATTAGACACTGAAAAAGATACCTGACCTTAGTCATATGAATTGGAGAAATGGCCACAAACATTTTCTATATCTCACTCCAGACTGATAAAATGACCCAATTTCTAAGATGATGAAAATATCCCAACTCAAAGTACAGCAGGTAATGGAGCCTAACACACAACTGTGTCCCCTAGTTGCTGGTCAGTGTGTACTGACCCCAAAGGGACATCACTCACCTGTTCTCCTGTGGCAACACCAATTCCTAATGGGACCAGTGCCTATGAAATAGAAGGCAGCCTGGTGTTATTTTCCTGTTTTGAACTGCAACTCCTAATGTTTAAAAACATTTATAGCTGAAGGAGGAAAAGGCCCTGCTGTTGAGCCATGTGAAGATTCAAGACTGGCAGAAGGATGTCCAGGGGAACACATGCGTGCAGAAGGGCTCCATGTATCTGCAGAGGAGAAGGAGAGCACTGCTGACCTGCCGCCACCAGCCCTGTTCCTGGCCAGGGCTTTGCAGGTCTCCTGCAGTGTCCTCCCTCTCCAGCCTGTGCAGTGGCATAAGGACAAGGTCACTCGGAGCGGCTCATTGTGGACTCACAGGGTCCAACCTTTGGCCCACTCCTTCCTGTAGGTCACCACTCCCTTGATTCCCTTTGTGCCTGAGAAACCTCCTTCTAGAACCCTCTCATACACACACACACACACACACACACACACACACATTATTTTTTTTTTGAGATACAGTCTCGCTCTGTTGCCCAGGCTGGAGTATAGTGGGGTGATCTCAGCTCACTGCAACCTCTGCCTCTTGGGTTCAAGCAATTTTCTGCCTCAGCCTCTTGAGTTGCTGGGATTACAGGAGCCCATCACCACACCTGGCTAATTATTTTTATTTTTAGTAGAGATGGGGTTTCACTGTCTTGGCCAGCCTGGTCTTGAACTCCTGACCTCGTGATCCACCTACCTCGGCCTCCCAAAGTGCTGGGATTACAGGCATGAGCCACTGCGCCCAGCATATTTTTTTGTTTTGTTTTTTTTTGAGACTAAGTCTTGCTCTGTCACTCAGCTGCAATGCAGTGGCATGATCTCAGCTCACTACAAACCCTGCCTCCCAGGTTGAAGCGATTCTTCTGCCTCAGCCTCCTGAGTAGCTGGGATTACAGGTGCACGCCACCACGCCTGGCTAATTTTTGTATTTTTAATAAAGTCAGGATTTTGCCATTTTGGCCAGGCTGATCTCCTGACCTCAGATGATCAGCCCGCCTCAGCCTCCCAAAGTGCTGGGATTACAGGTGTCAGCCACTGCGCTTGGCCTATGTCTTTGTTGATTCCAAAATTTTCCTTAAGGCAGGAAAAAGCCATGAAGAAAACTGAAAAAAAAAAAAAAAAAAAATCATTTTCCTTCCAGCTCAGTGGGTGGCCTTAGACCTCAATCTGCAGGTTAGGCTGAGCCCTTTGCTCACCTGGTAGACTCCTCACCTGGTGAGGTACTGAACTCTGTACCTGAACACAGCCCTGCTACTCTCTGTCCTCTCACCTGGCCCCTGAACACTACTTCACTCACCTGCCACCTGAGCTCTGGGCGCTCCCCTCCATCCTCTACTGGGACTGTGACTCCACAGCTCCTCTCTGCAGGCATCCTTGGTTTCTCCCTGGTTTCCCTTCCCTTTGTTTAGGATCATACCAAGCACACTAATAGCTAACACTTTTGGAGCTCTAAGTACCTGTCAGGTACTGTGCAAAACACTGACTTAAAGATTCCTGGTCTCAATCAGTGGGAGAGGAGCCATCGTTATCCCCATTTTACAGAAAATAAGAAAACAGGTGTGCTGGGTTTGAACTATTCCTGGATCACAAAGCTAGAAAGTGGTAGAGCCTGGGCTGGAACTCCACTGATTCCAGAGCCAGGGGTGGCATCTGAATCATTACACTAAGCCAGCTTCTCAGCAGAAGAATCCCTGCATTCACAAGTCAAGTGTCCTGATTCCAATGCTGGCCCTGCCTTTCACAGGATGTGTGGCCTTGGGCAAGCCCCGCCTGTGCCACCGAAAGCCTTGGCCTCCTCACCTGCAGAAGGTCTTAGTTTGAGCAGATGGTCTGTAAGGCACCTTTTCAAGCTAACATTTTATGCTTCTTAAATTTATTTATTTATTGGAGAAGGGGGTTTCACCATGTTGGCCAGGCTGGTCTTGAACTCCTGACCTTAGGTGATCTGCCCACCTCAGCCTCCCAAAGTGCTGGGATTACAGGAGTGAGCCACCACACCCAGTGCTTCTTAAAATTTCTAATTTGAGTACTCTTGGTTCTTTATCTCAAAAGAGAAGAGAAAGAGAGAAATGGAGGAAGGGGGAGGAGGAAAAGCCATTTGACTTACTCGTTCTAGCATTTTAAGCATATATGTTTCTGGCACTGACTCGGGGTCAAATGTTTTTCTTCATTTTTAATATTTCCTGAATCTGCTCTATTTGAGCTGCCCTCTCCCTTTATCTCTCCCAGAGGCCTGGACAAGCCTCCTCACTTCCATCCCTGCCTGGATTTCTCCCTGCCCGTTCCTCACCTCCCACACACCCTCTGTTTCAGTGCACTCTACATGTAGCCACCAATCACATCATCTGTGCTCCAGCTGTCACCATGCCGTCCTTTCACTGGAGAAGCTGTAGCAGCTCACTGACTGGCTGCATCCGTTGAGTGGATAGACCCCATAATCCAGCCCCATGTGCCAGCCTGTCTAACAGGTCCCTGGTGTGTGCCCTGTGTTCCCTTGGGCATCTCCACTGTCCCCGTGTGGACCTGCAAGCTCTGCATCTGCTCCTCCCTCAGATACTCCTAAGGGGCCTCCCCTATCTAAGCAAAACCTCAAAGGGTTAAAGCCCTGAGGAGCTTCCTAGGAGATGCTCAGGTGGGCAGAGATCAGGTTGGTGCTAGGCCAGCTGGCATTCAGCAGGGCATAGCCACCCTGCAAGAGCCCTAAGAAGAAAAACAAGTGGGACCCAAGGTGAAAAGTTTTGTTTCCCTGTGGCTCCTCACCTGAGATTCCTATTGTGGAATGATTCCTTGGAAAGTTTGGGTTCTGTTTAAATAACGAAGGCTGTGGTTCCTCTGTGGCTCCTGCTCACCCTTCCCTCACTTGCAACTTAGCTTTCCTTACGGAGTCAGTTCTGGCCATCCCCCTCATTGCCCACACCCAACATTCTCCTCGGTGAACTCTTCTACTGTGCTCAGCAATCAGTGCCCTGGCCCAGTATCCTCCAGTCTTTGTTTCATGTATCTCAGCTTTTCTCTCTGGCAAGGCTGCAAAGTGAAAGAGGAGGGTATTTCTGAAACCCAGGCTTTGGCAGAGCATCCCACATAATGTAGATCATGTGCTGATTTGCTGAGAGAAACGGAGAACTGGTCCCTGAGCCCCCAACTCCATACCTCCAGTGCGACCCATGAGTTTATATGGGATGATCAAGGTGTCCCTCCTAGAACTGGAACCAAGATTGCTCCATCAGAGTTAAAGGTATAAGATCAACACAGAATGGGGAGTGTGCAGCTGTGCAAAGTCACCTCAGGGAAAATGTTTCTAGGCAGGCAGGACATGGCTATAAGCCACGTGAATATACAGTCTTGTCACTTAATGACCAGAATACCCTCTGAGAAATGTGCCCTTAGGCGATTTCGTCATTGTGTAAACATCACAGAGTGTATTTACATGACCCTAGATGGTAGTGACTACTCCATACCTAGACAATATGTCATGGCCTATTGCTCCCAGGCTACAAAACTGTACAGCATGCCACTGTACCGAATGCTGCAGGCAACTGCAACACAATGGCCAGTATCTAAACATACTTAAACATAGGGAAGGTAATGCATTGCACTAGGATATCTCTAGTCAATCTCTACAATGTCACTAGGCAATGAGCTTTTCAGCTCCATTATAACCTTATGGGATTATTTATGCTGCGCCATCATTCACAGTCTTCCATGACTGAAACATTGTTATGTGGCACATGACCATGCCAAACCAGTTAGCATGTAGAAGAAAAAAATTCTCAGATGGAAACACAAGGCTGGACATGGTGGCTTATGCTTGTAATCCCAGCACTTTAGGAGGCCAAGGTGGGTGGATCATCTGAGGTCTGCAGTTCGAGACTGGCCTGGCCAATGTGGTGAAACTCCCATCTCTACTAAAAATACAAAAAAAAAAAAATTAGCCAGGTGTGGTGGCACATATCTGTAGTCCCAGCTATCTGGGAGGCTGAAGCAGGAAAATTGCTTAAACCTGGGAGGCAGAGGTTGTAGTAAGTCGAGATTGTGCCACTGCACTGTAGCCTAGGTGACAGAGCAAGACTCAAGAAAGAAAGAAAGAAAGAGAGAGAGAGAGTGAAAGAGAGAGAGAGAGAAAGAAGAGAGAAAGAAAGAAAAGAAAGGAAGAAAGGAAGAGAGAAAGATAAAGAAGAAAGAAAAGAAAGTAAAAAACACAAAAGAGGCATCAAAGGCAAATATTAGCTAGGCCTGTGGTCAGTGGGGAGGGACAGTATATCCAAGCTCAGAGATGGACGGACTGGGCCACTGCAGTCTGACACCATCACATATTCAAATCCCATAGCCAGTCCCTGCCCTGATTCCTCACTCATCTGGCAGCCTTTGGCTTAATACAACTCCTTATGGAGATTGCTAGAAGTTAAAGTTCTCTTCATAAATTACCCGGCTGGCACTCTGGCTGTGTAGAGTGGTGCTGCAAACCTGAGTAATGGAAGACTGCCCGGGTGACAGAATGTTACTCAGATGTTCCCATGTTTCAAGTTCTTTCTAAATCTGAAAGGGAGAAGGACTGGCTCCAATTAGGGTGAATTTATCACGAGGGCTCTGGGAAACAGGCTGCCTTCTCTTGGGGAGACCTCTGACCTAGACATTAGCTAAGCAAACCTTTCCTTTTGAGTCATCTGAAGGAATCTTCACTTTTTGTTTCATTCTGGGTGAAGAGTCTTATAATATCTATCACATTTCTGGCAGGGTGTGGTGGCTCAAACCTGTAATCCCAGCACTTTGGGAAGCTGAGGGAGGCAGATCATCTGAGGTCAGAAGTTTGAAACCAGCCTGGCCAGCATGGTCAAACTCCGTCTCTACTGAAAATACAATTAGTCTGGCATGGTGCCACACACCTGTACTTCCAGCTGCTTGGGAGGCAGAGGCACGAGAATTGCTTGAACCTGGGAGGCAAAGGTTGCAGTGAGCTGAGATGGCACCATTGCACTCCAGCCTGGGCAATAGAGTGAGACTCTATCTCAACAAAACAAAACAAAACAACAACACCACCACACACACACACACACACACACACACACACACACACACATACTTCTATCACATTTCTATATTTACAAAGAATAGGAACCATGTCTATTAACCTTCAAATTGCTGGTAGCCCTTCAACTTTCAGCAGCTTACTTTATCTAAAACAAACAGAAATAAGGGCAAAGTATAAGCTGAAGAAGACAAGGGAACATCAGGCCTGTAACTCCAGTGTTTGTTACACATTACAATTATTTCAGCTACTTTATCAGGAAATGCAAGAGGGAGCAAGTGAAGAAATTTCAGGATCTGTTCCCAGCACTCTGGAAAACTAAACAAAAAAAGTAAATTGCCATAGCAGCAGCAGCCGCCATTTTCCTACCTTGGAAATGGTGGCATGCCCCAGAATGTCATCAGGGGAGGTTGGCTCCTCAATCCACAATGGCTTGAACTTGGCTAGCTTGGACATCCACTCCACTGCCTCAGGCACATCCCAGCGCTGGTTGGCATCCATCATCTGCAGAGAGAGATTCTTCACAGGGAGGTCTGCCCTGAGCCAACCTTGCTGTAGGGCTGTGGCTCCTAGGGAGGAAATGCTGTTACTCAGTGCCACCAGCAGCTGAGTGAGACCCCCTAACACCTCTGCTGAGGCCCAGCACACGGCCCTAACAAAAAGAGCCAAAGAGCAGCCACCGAGACAGGGACTCTGGCTCCAGATACAGTCTTTTGGAGGAGCTGTGAATTGTCTGAGGAGCCGCTGCGATGTCTGGCAGTGCCCTGGGCTGGGCCATGAGAAGTGCCCACTGGCCCTGGGCTCTGGTCCAATTGCCATTTAGATGCCACCCAAATACCTGTGTCTTGCAGTGTTGGTTGTATTTGTAGGAACCATTTTGTCACATTCTGAATCATGCACAATCAACAATAAGTTTGTTCAATAGCCATTTATTGACTACTGCCCACTATGTGTCTGGCACAGTAATAAATAGCATAAACTCTTCCATAATGGTGCACGTACTCCACTAGGCACTTTCTGGATTTTGTTCCATTTAATATTTATAATAGCCAGCCAGGCATGGTGGCTTATGCCTGTACTCTCAACTTTGGGAGGCCGAATCCAGTGGATTTCTTGAGCCCAGGAATTCACGACCAGCCTGGGCAACATAGCGAAACCCTGTCTCTACAAAAAATACAAAAAGTAGCTGGGTGTGGTGGCTCTCACCTGTAGTCCCAGCTACTCAGGAGCCTGAGTTGAGAGGATGCCCTGAGCCAGGGGAGGTCAGGGCTGCAGTGAGCTGTGATCATGCTGCTGCACTCTAACCTGGGTCACTGAGTGAGACCCTATCTCAAAAATAAATAAATAACCCCATGAGGCAGTTCGTATTAACCCACTGTACAAATAAGAAAACTGTCATGCAGAGAAATTAAGTAACTTGCTTAAGAACAGTAAGTGAAGTCAATGGTGAGTTCAAGGCCAGTCCTCTCCTTCCTAGGCCCTGGCTCTCTGTGTGCCACTATCCTTCTTGGAAGCCAGGTACTGGCTGTGCCCTGCTTAAGGGACAGCCCCTCATCCCTGATCTTACCATGCTTGGAGTAGAACACAGAAATGTCTCTATAGAATGTGCTAAGTAATAAGAGCTCCCTCTCAGGACACTATGAGAACCAGAGGACAGTATGCTCAGAATAAAAAAATTTTTTAAGAGACTAGGTCTTGGCCGGGCGCGGTGGCTCAAGCCTGTAATCCCAGCACTTTGGGAGGCCGAGGCGGGTGGATCACGAGGTCAAGAGATCGAGACCATCCTGGTCAATATGGTGAAACCCCGTCTCTACTAAAAATCCAAAAAATTAGCTGGGCATGGTGGCGTGTGCCTGTAATCCCAGCTACTTGGGAGGCTGAGGCAGGAGAATTGCCTGAACCCAGGAGGCGGAGGTTGCGGTGAGCCGAGATTGCGCCATTGCACTCCAGCCTGGGTAACAAGCGAAAACTCTGTCTCAAAAAAAAAAAAAAAGAGAGACTAGGTCTCACTCTGCTGCCCATGTGGGAGTGCAGTGGTGTTACTGTAGCTCACTGCAGCCTCCAACTCCTGGGCTCAGTGATCTTCTCGCCTCATCTTCCACAGTAGGTGGGACTACAGACATGCACCACCATACCTGGTTAAATATTTTTCCTTCTTTCATTTAGAGATGGAGTCTTGATAGGTACCCCAGGCTGGTCTCAAACTCCTGGCCTCAAGTGATCCACCTGCCTCAGCCTCCCAAAGCATTAGGATTATAGGCAGGAGCCACTGTGTTCGGTCCAGAATCAGTTGTTTTCTTTTTTTGTATTTTTTGGTAGAGATGGAGTTTCGCCATGTTGCCCAGGCTGCTCTCATTATACTCCTGAGCTCAGGCAATCCACTCACCTTGGCCTCCCAAAGTGCCAGGATTACAGGCATGAGCCACCGCGCCTGGCCAACGCAGAATCAATTTTTATCTTAAGTTATTTGGATAAGGATGATCTCATAAAACAAAAACAGCATTAATTCATGTATAAATAGTGATCCTGGGTCAAGAACTCAAAATTTCTATTTAACTTATGCAAAAAGCCTCTAAAATCTCATAAAAACATCTTACTGTGACTTTCTTTCATGAAAATATTTTATACATAAGAACTGGTTTATAAAAATACCAATCAGAAATGACTGATCTGTACATTTATCTCAGCTGAAGTTACAACATTTCTTCAATAATGGCTCCCTGACACCCACCTACCTGAGGAGCTAGGAGGGGAGATTAAATGATTGACACACCAGAGCACCAATGGGAAACCTCTTTGCTCAGGTGCAGCTGTGTTAGCAAGTAAAGATCCTTAACCCCAGACTTACTTAACTAGTTCTGCAGAATTAAAAAATGTAAAACTATCAGTCCCTTTGCTTTTTTTTTTTTTGAGTTCACCTACTGCAAGACTATAGAACTCTACTTCCTCTGACAATAAGTTTTTAAATTCCCGATATTCTTTAATCTGTGCTTGAAACAAGTTGTATTTAGCCCTGGACAAAGGCTGCTGCTTCTCAGTGGAGTGAGAGGATATTTACCAAAGTCTTCTCCGGTCCAATCACATCTCGGATGAGTTGGCATCTTCGCTCATCATCCTGGAGATCAGCACCCACCTTTACTTTAAACCTAGAAAATGCATTTGGTTTGCTAGTTTAGACCTGTACCTGGACTTGGCAAGGGCACCTGGATTTTCTGCAGAAGCAACTGTCTCTGTCAGTAATTGACAGACCATGTTTTCTAGTAACTTCTTGCCCTTTCCCCATCTTCAGATAAGTCACTTGAAATAAACCTGTGAACTTTATCTCTTCATTCAGTTTCAGGGCAATGACTTTCAATTATCTGCTTACCTGGAGTTAAGGAGCTAGACCAGAGAAGTCAGGTCTTTAAAACAATTAACTGAGTTTTTGCTGTGCCATGAAAAGGAATTAAGAACAAAAAAGCCACAGTAAGAGTTGAAGAGGAGAGGGGGGCTGACAAGGGGTGCCGAGTGAGACACCCTGTGAAAGCCTGAATGGAAAGGGTCTGGCTTACAAAGGAGAGCTCTGTCCTGAATTAACTTAGTGAGAGGAAGGCCACAGGGATGGTCTGTCCCCTGCAGTGCAGGGGCCTGAGGTTCTGGGAGGGAAAGTGACAAGGTCACGTAACTGGGGAACAGCAGAGTGCGGCTGGAGCTTCCGTGTAGAGGTCTCCTTTACACCGCATCCAGACACTTGTACCAAGTTCCTTAATCTGTTTGGATGTCCAGCTATTCTCTTGAGACATGGGCCTCTACGTCCACACTCTATGACTCTGCTGTCCGAAGAGGTGTTGCTGGCCTCAGTGTGGGCATTGGCAGGTGGAGGAGGGGACACCACTGCAGGGACACCAGTCCCTTGAACACTAGCCTGTCCTTGTGTACCGCCTTGCTGAAGTCCTGCTGCTTTGCAAAGAGCTCCAGCTTGCATAGTGCCGCATGCTCTCAGGCACCTGCCGTTCTCTTCTGTACTATCTGGGGGCTTCAACTACATGATCCGTGATGCTCCAGAGAGGGTGGCTGGCCACAGGCTCTGGGTGCCAGGCTTCCCGTGCTGGGAAGAGGCCCTTTAAATCTCCTCACAGCCTACTCTGAGTCACCAGATACATTGCTGCAGTCTCCCCCGGGTATGTAGAGGGAGGGCAAGCAGCCAGCACTTACGGCGGCTGCTCTGAATCCTGCCCTGGGCCGGTCCTTCTGAGATATGGCAACTTTGAGGAGAACCATAAGCTTATATTATTTGTACTGATAGGGAGAAAATGAACTTCAGGGAGGTTGAGCAATTTACCCTTGATCACACAGTGAGTATTTGCAGGAGATGAGGGGAAAGGCAAAATGGGATTTCAGTTCCATGAGATGCCAAGGCCTTATGCTGCCTCCTTCAAGTTCTTACTCCTCAACCCTTTATTTAGCTGAGGCACTAACAAGAATCCAGTGCCTCTCCAACTTGAGCGTGCATAGGAATCACTGTTTCAGTGTAGATTCCCACGCAGCAGGTCTGGGGAGAGGCCCAGGCTGCATTTCTGACAAGCTCCCAGATGATGCTGGAGCTCCTGCTCCACAGAACACACTGAGTAGCAGAAGGCTCAAAGACCAGAGTGGCTGCAGATCAGATAGGAAGCCTGGTGACATGTTACAGGCAAAAAGTGCCATGGTGAGCTGCACTGAGGAACTCACGGAGACCAGGTCAAGAGAGATGATGGTCCCTCTGCATCTTGCCCTGGGTCAGGACATGGGGTCATCGACCATCAAGGCTCATCCAGAGAAGGTCTTAGGATGGGCAGAGGTCTTTACATGCACATGTGAGAGTCAGAAGGGAGAAATGCAGATGAGCAGTGTGGAAAGGAGGTGGCCTGGAGGGAGAGGAGGGCTGTCACTCAAGTGGAAGAGGAACAGCCTGGCTCGTGGGAACTGGGACCTGTGGCTGGAAGTTACATGGAAGCAAAGGGTTCCTGACATTTTTTTTTTTTAGAGACGGGGTTTCACCATATTGATGTCAAGTTGGTCTCGAACTCCTGACCTCAGGTGATCCACCAGCCTCGGCCTCCCAAAGTGCTGGGATCACAGGTGTGAGCCACCATGCCCGGCCAGGTTCCTGACATTAAAGACCCACCTGGCTGGGTGCAGTGGCTCATACCTGAAATCTTAGCACTTTGGGAAGCTGAGGTGGGTGGATCACCTGAGGTTAGGAGTTCGAGGCCAGCCTGATCAATATGACAAAACCTTGTCTCTACTAAAAATACAAAAATTAGCCAAGCATGGTGGAGGGTGCCTGTAATCCCAGCGACTCAGGAGGCTGAGACAGGAGAATGGCTTGAACCCAAGAGGTGGAGGTTGCAGTAAGATTGTGCCATTGCACTCCAGCCTGGGCGACAAAAGTGAAATTCATCTCTCCCCACGCTATCCCTCCTGGGTGAAGGGGAGAAAGGCAACAAAGCACACTGCCATGTGTGTACCTATGCAACTATCTTGCATGTTCTGCACATGTACCCCAAAACCTAAAATGCAATTAAAAAAAAAATTCATCTCAAAACAAACAAACAAAAAAACCCCACCTAATACTTAAAGCCCTCAAAGAATGAAAAGTGCTTCACCAAGTTAAGCTCACTACCTCTGGAGATGTTCATGCAAAGCTGAATCAACACTGCTACTGATGGTAAAGAATGGATTTCTATTCTAGGTTAGGGCCTGAAATCAACAATCTCACAGGCCTCTTTCAACTCTGATGTCCTAGAATTCGAATGAGGACTCACATCCTGCCTTTAGAGAAAGAGCCTGGCCTAAGGGGAAACTTCTCTTACACATCCCTATGAGCCTGTGGGTGCCTTTTACTCCTTGGCTCCTCTCCACTGCCTGGGTCCCTCCTGCCGCCAACTGGGAAAGTCCAGTCCATCATCACAAACACTCACCGTGTCCAGCCATCCTTCAGTGCCTGGGTGCAGAGCTGTGGGAAAGGAGCACAGGGTCACACACTGGAGAGGGCCCCTCAGTCTGACCAGACATCAGTCATTGCTGATCCGTTTCACAAGCATTATGATCATAGCATAGACCAGAGCAACACCTATGTGTGGTTGAAATTAACAGCAGAAACAGCTTAGCTGACAGAGATCACTTTTTACTTGTAGGATGACTTTCTTTCCTCATCTCTATGGGAAGCATTTTTTTCAATGGTCACAACCTTCCTGGAAGGGGAATATAGCATTGATCTCTCTTTTTAAAGCTAAGATAGGCTGGGTACAGTGGCTCACGCCTATAATCCCAGCACTTTGGGAGGCCGAGGCGGGTGGATCACGAGGTCAAGAGATCGAGACCATCCTGGTCAACATGGTGAAACCCCCATCTCTACTAAAAATACAAAAATTAGCTGATCATGGTGGTGCACGCTTGTAGTCCCAGCTACTTGGGAGGCTGAGGCAGGAGAATGGCTTGAATCCAGGAGGCGGAGGTTGCGGTGAGCCAAGATTGCGCCATTGCACTCCAGCCTGGGTAACAAGTGAAACTCAGTCTCAAAAAAAAAAAAAAAAAAAGAAGCTAGGATATTCTGTGGCATCCATAGAATGAGTGGATTTAAGAGTAACATGCAGAAGCCAGCCTCCCTCTCTCAAAGTGGGCACAGTGTAAAGAGAAACAGTAATAAATCCACCATGTGCCGACTGCATGCCGTGTGCCAACATGGTGCCTCGAGCAAGACACAACTTATAGCATGTATGTGAATCCTCAAAACCACCCCAGGAAACGCATTATTTCTCCATCTCACAGTGGGTCTGCTGCTGTGCTGCCTGGGAATAACACCCTAGACTATCACCTTCCAGGGCCCAAGGTGACTCCGTACGTCACAGAGTCCCTGGGTCCACAAGGTGAATGGCTTTGCATTTGCTCGTGTACTTTCAGAATGAGACCTTGTGGGGCCGGGCGCAGTGGCTCACGCCTGTAATCCCAGCACTTTGGGAGGCCGAGGGGGGTGGATCACAAGGTCAAGAGATCGAGACCATCCTGGTCAACATGGCGAAACCCCGTCTCTACTAAAAATACAAAAAAATCAGCTGGGCATGGTGGCACATGCCTGTAATCCCAGCTACTCAGGAGGCTGAAGCAGAATTGCCTGAACCCAGGAGGCAGAGGTTTCGGTGAGCCGAGATCACGCCATTGCACTCCAGCCTGGGTAACAAGAGCGAAACTCCGTCTCAAAATAAAACAAACAAAACAAACAAACAAACAAACAGAATGAGACCTTGTATCCAAAAAAAAAATTTTTTTTTTAAATGGAGTGTCACTCTGTCACCCAGGCTGGAGTATAGTGGCAATGGGTTCAAGCAATTCTCCTGCTTCAGCCTCCTGAGTAGCAGGACTGCAGGTGCACGTAACCATGCTCAGTTAATTTTTTTGTTTTGTACTTTTAGTAGAGATAGGGTTTCACCATGTTAGCCAGGCTGATTTTGAACTTTTGACCTCAGATGATCCACTCGCCTCAGCCTCCCAAAGTGCTGGGATTAAAGGCATGAGCCACCACACCCAGTCAAATGATTTAGAAAAGTGAACAAGAAAGTATTAAATTTCTCCCAGAGAGGCTGGAATATAAAGCCCATGTGATATAAGAAGGAATATATATTTGGTCTCTGTCCCTGTTTCTGCTCCCCTGTTTCCTAGCACACAGCCCCTAAAACCCTTGGCATCTCCTGAGTGATGGGAGTGTCTTCTGTATGTGAATGAGATAGCCCTGCTGAGGTCCCCTATGTAGCTTCAGGATGGGGCTGGGGACAGAAAAACGAGAGAGGGATGATTGTGGGGTTGGAAACTTTAGCCTATTCCTAGATCTCTGGGGAGCGGAGAGGGCTGAACGTTGAACTGATGGCCAATGGCCAATACTTAATCATACCTAAACACTGAAGCCTACATAAAATCCCCAAAGAACAAGGTTCAGAGAGCTTCCAGGTTGGTGAACACGTGGCGGTGCTGGGAGCGCGGCTCACCGGGAGAGGACACGGCAGCTCTGTACCCTCCTCACACTTTGCCCTATGCGTCTCTTCAGTTTGTCTGTTCTTAAGTTGTATCCTTTATAATAAATGAGTAAACATAGCGTTTCCCTGAATTCTGTGAGCCAATCCACCAAATGATTGAACTCAAAGGGGGGTTTGTGGGAACCTCCCAACAGAGACAAAGCCAGTCAGAAGCACAGGTGACAATGTGGACTTGCAATTGGCATCTGCCCTGGGGCAGTTCTGGAAGACTTAGCACTTAACCCATGGGGTCTGTGGCTAGCTCCAGGTAGGTGGTGTCAGAATTGAGTAAAACAGCAGGACACCCAGCTGGTGTCCACAGAGAAGTGGAGAACTGGTTGGCATGAGAGAGAAAATCATATGCATCTGGTGTCAGAAGTGAGATATTGAGAGGAGTGGAGTGAGTATAGACAAAAAAACAGGTTGGTTTGTTCCCATTCAGCCTATCTACAAAGTCAGGTTAAAATACCCACCTGCTTCAACGTGTCATCTGAGTACCCCAGCCAGGCGCACGACGTTGTATAAGCAGGGTAGCCTTGTGCCAGCATTTGCTCCTCTGTGAAAACACAGCAGCATCAACATTTTGCACTTTCGAGGGCCTTTCGGAATTGGAAGTGCCTGTAGCTAAGTTGTTTCCCAGGGAGAGTCCTGCTGTTCTCCTGACCCTGCCTTTCACACACACCCAGCCACAAATTACTAGGATGTCAAACCCAGGTGATCAGGATACCCTCACAGACTGCCCTGCTCCCCAAGGACCCTCCCTAAGCCAGACTTCCTTTCAGCACTGGTTGAAGCAAACCCTGCATTCAGAGGTCATACCCAGGAGGCTTCACCATGCAGACTTGAACATTGATCTGAAGGCCTAGCTGCTCAGCATGGGGCATTTGGGAGGACAGTGTGTACCCCCAAAGGACAGGGGCACTCAAAAAATGGGCAATGTTAGCAAAAACAATGAAGAAAATGTTCTTACAACCCACCTCTTTCTTTTTTACCAACTTGACCTTTCTGCAGTATTTCTGGAAGAAATAAAAAGCATCACTCACCCTTTTAGGCAACAAAGCATCCCACTCCTGTGCGTGCACATCGGTGTATCCCAGAAAGCTTCTGAACTCACCTAGGGCATCCTCCTCAGTCAGGACATCGGTGATGTACCTGAAATCTATGCAGGACACCAGCGTCCTGGGATCCTGGCAATGTGACAGGAAGGTAAGAGGCCTGAATCAATTCTAAGTTGGGTTATATTTCGTTTTAAAAAATTATGTATTATTCTTTTTTTAGAGACAAGGTCTCACTCTGTTGCCCAGGCTGGCGTGGAGTGGTGCCATCATAGCTCATTGCAGCCTCAGTCTCCTGGGTTTATGTGATCCTCCTGCCTCAGCCTCCTGAGTAGCTGGGATTCCAGGTGTGTGCCACCATGCCCAGCTAATTTATTTTTATTTTTGTAGAGATGGAGTCTCACTGTGTTAACCAGGCTGATCTTGAGCTTCTGGCTTCAAGTGATCCTCCCTCCTCGGCCTCCCAAAGTGCTGGGATGACAGGGACGAGTTAAGCGTCTAAGAAGTTGCTTATGGTGATACATGGGGCTCATTCTTTCCTGGCAGGGACCTTTGGGGCTCTGTTAAATTGTTTGACTCTGCCTTGCCTAAGTGTAGAGTCCTTTAGAGGCTCCTCGCTGTTCCCTGACGAAGCCCTCAGATGCTCATGCTCTGACCCCTCACCACCTTCCGCCACCCTGTTCTTTCCAGCTGACAGGGCTTCCTGGAAGGAGGACCTGGCCCCAGGCAAACACTCAGCAGGAGCTCAGCAAAGAGACGAACGCCTGGCAACACTGCGCACATGAGCTCCACACCACAGGGCTGTCCACGATGAGCTGCGAGGCCGGAGGACAGTCCTGGAGCAGTGAACTGCATAGGAAAGAGGGCTGTCCTTCAATGGGCCACTGCTCACCAGCAGCATGACCTTCAGGAGTTTCTTCTGCCAAATGGGATGCTTGCTTCACGGACAGGAACCGAGTGAGTGAACCAGAGCGAGTGGCCCACCTTGCTGACCACCCACCAACATCTCGGCAGGGCCTGGTGCTGAGGCCTCTCCCTACCCTGACGGACCAGTCAGTTGGAAAACAGCCAGTAGCTCCATTCCCACTAAGGTCTTATAGTGATCCATAATACTCTACCATAACTGTCAAAAATCCTAAAAGCTCTTTCAACCCTGAGATTCTGCTTCTTTTAAGAGTTCTGGGCCGGGTGGGTGACTTGTGCCTGTCATCCCAGCACTTAGGGAGGCCGAGGTGGGTGAATCATCTGAGGTCAGGAGTTTGAGAGAGGCCAGCCTGACCAACATGGTGAAACCTCATCTCTACTAACAATACAAAAAAGTAGCTGAGCGTGGTGGCAGGGGCTTACTGTCCCGGCTACCTGGGAGGCTGAGGCAAGAGAATCACTTGAACCCAGGAGGAGGATGTTGCAGTGAGCTGAGATTGCACCACTGTACTCCTGCCTGGACAACAAGAAGAAAACTCCATCTCAAAAAACACTGATCACTAGACACTGAAAATTAAAATACAAGGAAAAAAAAGAGTGCCGGCATTGAAAGGGAACAGGATCCAAAAATGGACAGTCCACAGGTGGGACCTCAGGCACATTTCTGGTGGCCTGCAAATCACTCCCTTTTGGTGGCTACCTCTTCCACCCCTGGCCCTGAGTCCAGAAGGGGCTCAAGAGTTCTGCGTCCTTCCCCTGTGGATGGCCCCGAGGCCATGTTCCATGTCAGAGATGATGTGACAGCCTCCTGTCTTTGCTTTCCTCCAGAGGAGGTGCAGTCTCCTGCCCAACACTCTTCAAGGCCATGGTGTTCTTTGTTTTTCCTTAATTTTGCTGCCAACTAATAACAAGGGGCTTCATTTGCGGACCCAGAGGTTTTTAACCACCACCCAGGTGTCACTGCAGCTAAGAGTGCGGAAGTCACATGCTCAAGGTCATGCAGCTAGTGAGCAGTGAAACCCGGACTCACAGCCAGCTCTGCATGGGTCTCAAGCTCATTCCCCTTTAACTTGCCCAGTTTTTTCCTCCTCAGCACCCAGTTGCTCACCCCTGCTATGAAAATGTCAGGGAGAAAGAAAACAGCCAAGTGCATATCTTTAGAATTCAGTGTTCAGCTCCTTCCCTGCTGGAACTATACAACAGAGGCTGCAATGGCCTGATTTTATTCCTGGTGTCAAAGGGACTGGAGAGTATCTTTTCTTTTTTTGAGACGGTCCTGCTCTGTCACCTGAGTGCAGTGGTGCCATTATAGCTCACTGCAGCCTGAAATTCCTGGGCTCGAGCCATCCTCCAGCCTTCCAAAGGGCTGGAATTACAGGCGTGAGCTGCCACACCCAGCCAGGATATCATCATAACCTTATAACATCTTGCTTTTCAGAATTTATGAGGTGCTTTTCTCACTGATCTTTAATTCTGTGAGGTTCCTGGAGAAGTTAGAATGATCCTCTTGTCACAGGCAACGGAGGCTCAGAGAACTGGGACTGCATGTTACAGGTACACGGTAGGAAAGCAGGACCCCTTCTGCTGCCCCTCGTGCCACCCTGCCTACATGAGCACAGTCATCTGTTACGTCAGATATCAGAAAACAAATGTCATATTTTACTGGCTTTATCATCACTATAGTGATCAACAGACAGCCCTGAATATATTTACTGATCATCAAAAGGCAAGTCATCCATGAAATTCATTTCATTTTCGGAAACAATTGTAACATTAAAGATTCTACTTACCATGTCCACGAGTAACTTCCAGACAGGCTTGAAGTAAAAAAGAAAGGATTTGTAAGACATATGTGTTAAATGCCCCCATTTTTTTCCTGACAGTAAATGCATTGGCAGCAAACACTGGCTCTCAGCCATCAGGTTCCCCTCACCCCCCTCTACTGCTGCCTGTGCCTTCCACCATCCCACCCATCTGCCATTCCCTACCTACTGCCAGAACCTCTCAGGGGAGAAAAAACACCCAAGCAATTCTCTGTATTTCCTTCTGGGGGCCTGCAATGTGTCTGTCTTTCCCCTGTGCTTAGGGAAATTCAGCGTCTTAAGGTTCCCGGGAGCCTCTGAAGCGTTTGTGAGGGGAGTTACCTTTCCCTCCTGCTTGGCCCACAAGTCCCACACTGCATTTAGGATGGCTGCTGTCGCCAGGTGCACCACACCCTTCTCTGGACCAATCTGGTTAGGAAGCAAAGCACAAGAGCACTTCTTAGAAATGAAAAAGAAGTCTGGGTGTGATGGCTCACGCCTGTAATCCCAGGACTCTGGGACCGAGGCAAGCCTGGCCAACATAGTGAAACCCTGTCTCTACTGAAAACAGAAAAATCAGCCAGGTTTGGTGGTACATGCCTGTAGTCCCTAATCAGGAGGCTGAAGTGAGAGGATCACTCAAACCCAGAAGGCAGAGGTTGCAGTGAGCCTAGATTGCACCACTGCACTCCAGCCTGGGCAACAGAGCGAGACTGTGTCTCAAAAAAACAAAAGAAAAAGATATTTAGGTCTTCCATCCAGGGACACATTTCAAGAATTAAAAGGCAGCAATAGAAACCCACCTAAATGTTAAGGTTTTTTTTTTAAAAAAAAACAGCTGCTAACCTACTGAAGAGTTGTAAGAATAGTAGGAAAACACCTGTCTTTTCCTCTCTTCTCTCTCTCCCTCTCTCTACACATACACACGTATATATATATATGCACAGACACTCACACACATATATATGTACTTCTTTTTTTCTGAACCATTTGAATAAAGTTGCAAATATTGTTGCCCAGGCTGGAGTGCAATGGTGTGATCTCGGCTCACTGCAACCTCTGCCTCCCGGGTTCAAGTGATTCTCCTGCATCAGCCTCCCAAGTAGCTAGGATTACAGGCATGCACCACCATGCCCAGTTAATTCTGTATTTTTAGTAGAGACAAGGTTTCTCCATGTTGGTCAGGCTGGTCTCGAACTCACGACCTCAGGTGATCCACTGCCTCGGCTTCTGCAAGTGCTGGGATTACAGACATGAGCCTCAGTGCCTGGCCTATAAAATATCATACAGCTCTTTTAACCCTAAATACATCAGTATATAGTTCTTGAAAACAAGGACTTCTAAAATATAACCATAGTACAATGATCACACTTAGAGAATACAACATTGACAGAATAGTCTTATCTAAAGGCTAGTCCATAATTAAATATCACCATTTTTTTCCCAATAATGTATTTTATTTTAGCCTAATCCATATCCCACCTGGGATCACATACTGCATTTAGTTGTCATGTCTCTGTAGTCTCTTCTCACCCGGAGCAATTTTCCTTCTTCGTTTGCAAATGTTATCAGCATTTTAAACAGTATAGACCAATTGATCTACACAGCATCCCTCAATTTGGCATTCCTTCATGATTAGATTCAGGTTATACATTTTTGGGCACAAACACTACACAAGTGTTTGTTTTATTATTAGGGTTGTTAACTTTTACCACTTGGGTAACTTAGTGTCCATTTGGTTTCTCCACTGGGAAGTTACCATTTCCTTTTCCAAGTAAGGAGGTTATTATTGTCCTAAAATTTGAGCATCTATTGACGACTCTTGCCTCAATTAATTGTAGCTATGACAGTTATGGTTATTTTTTGATGTTATCATTCCTTTCATATTTATTAGATTTAATCAGCTGTAATGGTGGGCTTGACCTTGTTGTTATCTCTTTTAAAAGTTTATTTTATTATTTTCATTTTTGAAAAGTACAGATGGGGGTCTCACTATGCTGCCCAGGCTGGTCTTGAACTCCTGGCCTTATGTGATCCTCCTGCTTCAGCCCCAAGGTGCTGGGATTATAGGCATGAACTACTGCACCCAGCCAATTGTTCATTATCTGAATGGATTCATGGATTTTATTCAATGGGTTATAAACCATTGCTATTATGTTTATTTTGATGCTGAAAGTCAGCCAGTGGGAACTTCTTCAAGGTGACATCTCTCTTTCTTTCTTTTTTTTTTTTTTTAGAGAACAGGGTTTCACCAACAGGGTTTCACCATGTTGGTCAGGCTGCTCTCGAACTCCCAACCTCAAGTGATCCGCCTGCCTCAGCCTCCCAAAGTGCTGGGATTACAGGCGTGAGCCACCGCGCCCGGCCTCAAGGTGACATCTTTCAAGGTAAGTTTAATATTCTCTGTATAAAGTAAAAGATGAAATCCTAGACACTATGGAAAGTACATTCTCTTGTGCCCTTCTCTGTGCATGGATGGGGAGACTGAGCCAAGTTGGGAAAAGACAAAACCCAGTATCATGGGACAAAGGTAAAGGTCAGGGTACTGAATTCATTTTACTGTGTTGGAATCCTTTCTCCAGAGCCTCACTCTTTCAAGCCTTGAATTTATAGTTCATTGGTTCAAATACCAAACTATGCACATAAAAGGTATGACGGCCTTCCCTTTCTTTTATTTGAGACAGAGTTTCACTCTTGTTGCGCAGGTACAATGGCGCAATCTCGGCTCACCACAACCTCTGTCTCCCAGGTTCAAGCAATTCTTCTGCCTCAGCCTTCCGAGTAGCTGGGATTACAGGCATGCACCACCACGCCCAGCTAATTTTGTCTCTTTAGTAGAGATGGGGTTTCTCCATGTTAGTTAGGCTGCTCTCGAGGTGATCCAGCCGCCTCAGCCTCCCAAAGTGCTAGGATTACAGGTGTGAGCCACCGCGCCCAGCTGGTCTTCCATCTTTTTAACTTTGCTCTTCTCACTGTTTTCTCTTTAATGACCTTCTCTTATATCTCTAATACTATTCACGTTATTTCTCCATAGAAAGATTGCTTATTCAGTACTTTATCCTCTAGACCACTTTCCAATCAGGGAGGAGGAGATGAGGTCCTTAGAGAAGAGAGAGCTCTCAGGGCCCAACTCTCAGCACCTCATCTCCGTAGTAGAACATTTTATTCAGCTAAATTCAGGCTTGAGTCATTTAGATCATCAGTCTTACATAAATGAGTTGTTTACCTCAAAATACTGATAATCTAAATGACTCAAGCCCAAATTTAGCTGAATAAAATGCTCTACTTTAAAATTATAAACCCATCTCTAGGCTGGGCATGGTGGCTCATGCTTGTAATCCCAGCACTTTGGGAGGCCAATGGGGGTGGATCGCTTGAGGTTAGGAGTTCGAGACCAGCCTGGCCAACATGGCAAAACCCCATCTCTACTAAAATTACAAAAATTAGCCAGGTGTGGTAGTGCACGCCTGTAGTCTCAGCTACTTGGGAGGAGAATCACTTGAACCCAGGAGGTAGAGGTTGCAGTGAGCCGAGATTGTGCCACTGCACTCCGACCTGGGCAATAGATAAGACTCCATATCAAATAAATAAATAAACCAACCCATCTCTATTTTCATATTTGTTATACTCAAAGGACATCTCAGACCTTGGTAATATTACTTATATGAGCATTTTACAAAATAGGTCCCTTACCCATCTGAGCTGCCCATCACTCGCGAGCTGCCTATAGAAGCCTCTGAAGTCACCAACAATGTCCTTGAGGTCCTTGTTGAGCACATGGTGTGCGAGGGCATTCACAGCACAGACAACTATTTAAAAAGGATTGAACTCTTGTTTATGCTTTTATATTAGGTCAAGAAATTAAGGCATGTAAACATCACAAACATGAACATTTTATGAAAAAATTAAATCTAGGCCAGGCAGGGTGGCTGACCCCTGTAATCCCAGCACTCTGGGAGGCCAAGGCAGGTGAATCGTCTGAGGTCGGAAGTTCCAGATCAGCTTGGCCAACCTCGTCTCTACTGAAAATATAAAAATTACCAGGGCACAGTGGTGTACACCTGTAATCCCAGCTACTCAGGAGGCTAAGGCAGTTGAATCGCTTGAACCCAGGAGGCGGAGGTTGCAGTGAGCTGAGATCGTGCCACTGCACTCCAGCCTGGACAACAAGGTGAGACTTAGTCTCAGAGGCATATTCTTTTTAAAATGGCATCAAATATGTGCCTTCCTTTCCTTTTTCTTTTTCTTTTCTTTCTTCTTTTTGATAGGGTCTCGCTCTCAGTCTCAAAAGCATATTCTTTTTAAAATTGCATTGAATATGTGTCTTTCTCTTCTTTTCTTTTCTCTTCTTTCTTTTTTGACAGGGTCTCACTCTCATCCAGGCTGGATGGAGTGCAGTGGCACAACACAGCACACTGCAACCTTGTCCCAGGCTCAGGTGATCCTCCCAACCTCAGCTTCCTGGGATTGGCACATGCCACCACACCTGGTTAATTTTGGTATTTTTTGTAAAGACAGTTTTGACATGCTTCCCAGGCTGGTCTCAAATTCTTGGGATCAAGTGATCCACTCACCTTGGCCTCCCAAAGTTCTGGGATTACAGGCATGAGCAACTGTGCCTGGCCCCACACGTTTTCTGTGGTTGTCATAAGAAATATCACATAAGTAGAACAGCTGTTAATCCATAAACTGAGCTAAAGTTCCTGAGTAGAGAGCACATTGTGACTGGCTGTCAAGTGAAAAACAAAATCATACATTGACAAGTTTAAATAATGTTCCCAAATTATTTTCCTATTCACTTTGTAAAGTGTTTGGACAATCAGATTCAAAAGTAAACCACGCTAGTTCATGTTCCTAAGGAATAAGAAGGCTGACTTAATAGAATTTTTAAAAAGAGAAATGCCTTTTCATTATTGATAAGTATAGAAAATGCCTTGAATTCACAACTTAAACTATTAAAGATTAAATAAAATGAATTGGCAATTAGCATACTATTTGTATGTAAAATGTTAAAATACATGAAAACACTGTCTTTACAAACATTAAACTTCTTACTGTTGACTTTCTTATGATATACTACATTTTTTATAAGTAATTTGAAGGTTAACTTCAGTTTGGGTCAACATTACCATCAATTATTTATTTTTGATGCCTTTAATTATGATTATAATTTTTTTGAGACAGGGTCTCACTCTGTCACCTAGCCTGGAGTGCAGTGGTGTGATATTGGCTCACTGTAATCTTCACCTCCTGGGCTCAAGTGATCCTCTCACCTCAGCCTCCCGAGTAGCTGGGACCACAGGTTCGAGTCACTATGCCTGGCTAATTTCTTGTAGTTTTGGTAGAGATGGGGTTTCCCCATGCTTCCCAGGCTGGTCTCGAACTCCTGAGCTCAAGTGATCCACCTGCTTTAGCCACCCAAAGTGCTGGGATTATAGGCATGAGACACTGATCCCAGTCCTTCACTGTAATCTTGAATGCCTAGCCTCAAGCAATCTTTTTGTCTCAGCCTCCTGAGTAGGTAGGACCTACAAGCAACACCACATCCAGCTTATTAAAAAAAAAATTTTTTTTTGAGGCAGAGTCTAGCTGTCACCAGGCTGCCGTGCAATGGCACCATCTGGGCTCACTGCAACCTCTGCCTTCTGGGTTCCAGCAGTTGTCCTGCCTCCAGAGTAACTGAGATTATAGGTGCCTGCCACCACACCTGGCTAATTTTTGTATTTTTAGTAGAGACAGGATTTTACCATGTTGGCCAGGCTGGTCTCGAACTCAGGTGATCCGCCTGCCTTAGCCTCCCACAGTGCTGGGATTACAGGCATGAGTCACCATGCCCAGCCATAATTTTTAATTTTTTTGTAGTGACAAGGTTTTGCTATGTTGCACAGGGAAGGGGGTGGGGAGGTTCTGGAACTCTGGGCTCAAGCAATCTTCTCACCTCGGCCTCCCAAAGTGTTGGGATTACAGGCAAAAGCCAACACGTCCCATGGTGTTTTACTTTAAAAGGCTTTCTTGGACCTGGCACTCACTCCTGTAGTGGCAGCCCTTTGGGAGGCTGAGGTGGGCGGATCACTTGAGCTCAGGAGTTCGAGATCAGCCTGGGCAGCATGGCAAGACACCATCTCTACAAAAAATACAAAAATTAGCCAGGTGTGGTAGTGCATGCCTGTGGTCCCAGCTACTTGGGAGGCTGAGGTGGGAGGATCATTTGAGCTCTCAAGGCAGAGGTTGCAGTGAGCTGAGATTGTGTCACTGCATTCTAGCCTGTGTGACAGAGCTGGACCCTGTCTCAAATAATGATAATAATAATAATAAAAGGCTTTCTTATGTTATTTAAGATGATGAATAAGTGAAGTAACCCTTTTGATCTTTTGTCAGTTCTAGGAAACATTTAGCCTATGTTGTGTAAATGGCCACAATAATTGAATCAAGCCATCAACTTAGCTTCAAAGAAAGGAATGTATTCCCAAACGTTTTGATAAACTTGTTTGGTGCTGCCATGGATTCAATAGTCAAAATTTTTCGGTCATTTAATAGGACAGTTATAGAGGTACAGTTTTACTGTTAATAAGATCCTGAAAAGGACGCTTTGAAAGTGATGCCCCAGGCCAAGTGCGGTGGCTCATGCCTGTAATCCCAGCACTTTGGGAGGCCGAGGGGAGTGAATCACCTGAGGTGAAGACTTTGAGACCAGCTTGGACAACATGACAAAACCCCATCTCTACTAAAAATAAAAAAATTAGCTGAGCGTGGTGGTGTGTGCCTGTAATCCCAACTACTTGAGAGGCTGAGGAAGAAGAATTGCTTGAAAACAGGAGGCGGAAGTTCCAGTGAGCCGAGACTGTGCCATTGCACTCCAGCTTGGACAACAAGAGCAAAACTCCATCTCAAAAAGGAAAGAAAGTGGTGCCCCAAGCTTTTTAGCACGTTACTAACTAAGGGTGAAATGGCTCTCAGATGATTGCATACTTGCGGTCAGATGTAGCATTTGGGGCTGAACTAGCCATGCCAGGCTCTCTAGGGCTTTTGTTAATGGTGTACACAATCATTCCAGTTCACATGTTCATTCCCTAGAAGGTTGATGCTCTTGAATTAAAAAAATCTGAAGTAAGTCAGTGACTCATAGTGAGGTATGTTACTATTGACACCAAACCACTGTCTCAGGGATTTGATTGCTGCTATAAATCACTGACTGAAGCCCACCTCTCGTTCATGGTACAGTAGCAAATGCATTAACAAAAGCTAAGGATGATCTCATTTTTATGACTCTCAGAGATGCACAAGCATCACTTATATATTCATCTACAGTGCGTGGATTTTTCTTGCTCAACAGGAGACTAGAATTTGCTGCATTCAATAGAAATTTGGGTTGTGAGGCCAGGTGTGGTGGCTCACACCTGTAATCCCAGTACTTTGGAAGGCTGAGATGAGTGGATCACCTGAGGTCAGGAGTTCGAGACCAGCCTTGTCAACCTGGTGAAATCCCATCTCTACTAAAAATACAAAAATTTGCAGGCGTGGTGGCACATGCCTGGAATCCCAGCTACTTGGGAGGCTGAGGCAGGAGAATCACTTGAACCCGGGAGGCAGAGGTTGCAGTGAGCAAGCCAAGATCACGCCATCATACTTCAGTCCGGGTGACAAGAGCAAAACTCCATCTCAAAATAAGAAAAAAAAGAAATTTGGGTTGTGGCAGGAAATTCAGTTGAAAAGAAAAAAAGGGCCCTTGAAGGCAGCTTCTTGCTGACTAAACCCATGGGGTTCTCTTCCGTGACTCTATTTGTCCAGGGACTTCAATTCTCTGGAGCCTCTAGCACTGGAAGGACAGTGAGTAAAGTCTGTGGGTGACTTGTGGGTGTCTGAGTAGGAATGGTGTCACAAACTCTTAAAGCTGGGTTTTTAAAATTTTGTCTATTTAAAAATTCTTTCTTTGTTCGTCCTTTTATTTTTCTATATTTTAAAAAAACTTAGTCTACATTGTATATATTATTATATGTGTCCAAACCCACCGAATATACAACGAGTGCTCCTATTGTAAACTACAGACTTCGATCATGATGTGCAATGTAGGTTCATCGGTTGAAACAAACGGGCCACTCTGGGCGGAATTTTCATAATGAGGGAGGCTGTGCCTGTGTGGGGACAGGGGTATGTGGGAAATCTTTGAAACTTCCATTCAGTTTTGCTGTGAACCTGATACTACTCTAAAAATTACGTTATTAACAAAAAGGTCGGGCATGGTGGCTCATGCCTGTAATCCCAGCGCTTTGGGAGGCTGAGGCAGGTAGATCACCTGAGGTCAGGAGTTTGAGACCAACCTGGCCAACATGATGAAACCCCGTCTCTAAAAATACAAAAATTAGCTGGGTGTGATAGCATGTGCCTGTAATCCCAGCTACTCGGGAGGTCGAGGCAGGAGAATCACTTGAACCCAGGAGGCGGAGATCGCAGTGAGTCAAGATTGCACCACTGCACTTTAGCCTGGGCGACAGAGTGAGATTCTGTCTCAGAAAAAAAAAAAAGGACAGGCATAGTCATGGCTCATGCCTGCTGTAATCCCATCACTTTGGGAGGCCGAGGTGGGCAGATTGCTTGAGCTCAGGAGTTCAAGACCCATCTGGGCAAAAATGACAAAACCCTATCTGTACAAAAAATACAAAAATTGGCCCAGCATGGTGGCAGGCACCTGTAGTCCCAGCTACTTGGGAGGCTGAGGCAGGAGAATTGGTTGAACCTGTGAGGTGGAGGTTGCAGAGATCATGCCATGCACTCCAGCCTGGGCAACAAGAGTAAAACTCCATCTCAAAAAAAAAAAAATTTAAAGAAAAAAAAAAACCTAGGTCAGGTGTGGTGGCTCACGCCTGTAATCCCAGCACTTTGGGAGGCCAAGGTGGGCGAATCACCTGAGGTTAGGAGTTCGAGACCAGCCTAGCCAACATATAGTGAATGTCTCTACTAAATATATAAAAATTAGCTAGGCATGGTAGCACATGCCTATAGCCTCAGCTACTTGGGAAGCTGAGGCAGGAGAATCATTTGAACCCTGGAGGCAGAGGTTGCAGTGAGCCAAGACTGCACCACTGCACTCCAGTCTGGGCGACACAGCAAGACCATGTCTCAAATAAATTAATAAATAATAAAAATTTTAAAAACATAAAGAAAGAAGGATAAAAGTGAATATTAATTAAGCAAATTTAATAAAGACATGACTTTAAAAAAAATACCAAACCAAAAACTACATTGGTGTATCCTATACATACTACATTGGTATATTCTATACATTTGAAAAACAACCCTCCTTCTCTATCTCTCTCACACACAAGCACTCTCTTCACAGTAATAAAAGAAAACCCTATTTTTTAAAAAATCATAAACAGATGATGAGGTAAGTAAGCTGATAAAGGCTGCAGAAGAACCAGGATGAGCTAATATGAGAGCCGGGTACCACATTTTGTGAGACTGCAGTGAGTCACCGGAAATATGTAGCAAGGTTGAAGTTAAAACGGGTTCTGTCATGTTGTGGTCTGAAAAAGGCGGAAGCCAGAAACCTTAGCACAGAACAGCCATCACTTAAAGGGGAGAGATGGAAATTGATTTATCCCTGCCTGAGACATTAACTAAGTCAGCCGTGTGGAGCTAGGAATGGAGGCAGGGAGGGTGAGTGAAGGCCCTATGGTGAGCTCAGCACCCATCCTAGAAGAGGTTCTTCTTCTTCTTCTTCTTTTTTTTTTTTTTTAAATGGAGTCTCACTCTGTCGCCAGGCTGGAGTGCAAATGGTGTGATCTTGGCTCACTGAAACCTCCACCTTCCGGGTTCAAGCTGTTCTCCTGCCTCAGCCTCCTGAGTAGCTGGGCTCATAGGCACCCACCACCATCTCCAGCTAATTTTTGTATTTTTAGTAGAGATGAGGTTTCTTTACCATGTTGGCCAGGCTTGTCTTGAACTCCTGACCTCAGGTGATCCACCTGCCTATGCCTCCCAAAGTTCTGGGATTACAAGGGTGAGCCACTGTGCCAGCCAGAAGAGCTTCTTATCTGTCTTGGTGCTCAGGGCCCCTCCACGTGTGCTGACTTGGGCAAGTCAGCAAAGTTTAAAGTCTTGGCTGTTAACAGAGAGTGGGTCCAATGGCCTAACATCTTGTAAGCTCGCTGAGTTTTATGCAACTTTTGGGGGCTGTGCTATAGGGTTTGCAGTATGGAGAAAGACAGCAGCTTCATAAAGGACTCAACTTACAAACAAGGGATAATCAATGTTGCAGAATAAGCAGAAATGCAGCTCACAGCTCCAGCTTAGTAAGTGGTTACTACTTTGGGGAAAACTTTAACAGTAAATTGTTTATTGAATGGGGAAAAGGGGCACTGACTCTCCTCTCTCTGCCTGGCAAATTCCTGTTTGCTCTTTGAGACTCACCTCAAAGCATTACTTCTGCTCTGAAACCTTCCCTGAGCCTTTTGGACAGAGTGAAGTTACCTACTGATATGGTTTAGATGTTCTGCCCAAATCTCATGTTGAAATATAATCCCAATATTAGAGGTGGGGCCTGGGGGTCGTGATTAGACCATGGGGATGGATTTTTCATGAATGGTTTAGCACCATCCCATTGGTACTGTCCTTGAGACAGTGAGTGAGTTCTTGTGAGGTCTGGGGCTTCAGTGTGTAGCCCCTCCCCACTCTCTTTCTCTTGTTCCTGCCTTCAACTTAGGATGTGCCTGCTCCCCCTTTGCCTTCCACCACGATTGTAAGTGTCCTGAAGCCTTCCTAGAAGCTAAGTAGCTGGCACCATGCTTTCTGTAAAACCTACAGAACTGTGAGCCAATCAAATCTCTTTTTCTTTATAAATCACCCAGTCTCAGGTACTCCTTTATAGCAACACAAGAACAGCCTGGGTTGACATGGTGGTTCGCACCTGTAATCCCAGCACTTTGGAAGGCTAAGGTTGGCAGATCATCTGAAGTCAGGAGTTGAAGACCAGCCTCGACAAACATGGTGAAACCTCATCTCTACTAAAAATACAAAAATTAGCTGGGCATGGTGGTGTACGCCTGTAATCCCAGCTACTTCGGAGGCTGCGGCACAAGAATCTCTTGAAGCCGGGAGGTGGAGGTTGTAGTGAGCCGAGATTGCACCACTGCACTCCAGGCTGGGCAACAGAATGAGACTCTTGTCTCCAAAAAGGAAAAAAAAAAAAAAAAAAAAAACAACCTAATATATCTTCTCTCTGTCTAACTTGCATGTACTTTTTAAAAATAGTAATTCTCAGACTGTGGTATGATCGTTACTTTTATGTCTACTTCCCCAATAAGTTTGTGTGCTCCTTGTATGTAGGATTCTATGTTATCTTTTTTTTTTTGAGATTGAGTCTTACTCTGTTGCCCAGGCTGGAGTGCAGTCATGCGATCTCAGCTCACTGCAAACTCTACCTCCAAGGTTCAAGCAATTCTCATGCCTCAGCCTTCTGAGTAGCTGGGATTACAGGCACACATCACCACACCCAGTTGATATCTGTATTTTTAGTAGAGACAGGGTTTCATTCACGTTGACCAGGCTGGTCTCAAACTCCTGGACTCAAGCGATCTACCCGCCTCAGCCTCCCAAAGTGCTGGGATTACAGGCGTGCACCACTGCACCTGACCTATCTCTTTTAAAAATTACTTCAGTGCTTGGCAGCATGCCTAATGCATGGCAGCATCGTCTAAGTCTGCAGAAGGACTGACTTGCTGGATGACTGGCCACCAGCCCTGCGAAGAGCAGAAACAGCAGCCACAAGGGCAGTGTCCACTGAAAGTTCAAGGAAGAGTCCCTTGCCATTCGCACATACACACACTCACAAACTCACACACTTCTTTTACATGCTTAACAATTTAAAATCTCTCAATGGGCCAAGATTTTTTTTCCTACAACTACTGAGAGCACTGATAGTGCAAATATCCATGGGAGAGGTAGATTACCACCAAAGTTAGAGAAATTCTTTCTCTCCTCCTTCCAGACCCTTACTCTTCAATCTATCATAATTTGGCTTCGGTCCCTAATAATCCATTGAAATTGATCTGGTGGAGGTCATTGTTTTGTGCTTCTTGATTCTGTACCATGTGCAGGTATTATGTATTCAAAAAGAGTTGCATTTTAAAGTTCTGTAGAGAAAGTGCTTTGGGCAGTCAGGCGGTTCTGCCATGACTTGCTGGGGAGCTGCCTGGGCCCCAGTTTTCTTCTCTGTAAAAAATGAGGTGACTCAAGATCACCACTGAGATCACATCAGCTCTGAGAAAAGTTATGTTCTGTGTCTTCTGTTTAAGAAAATAGAAAATAAAAATAAAAATAAAAGAATGACATATACATGGCTCAGTATGAATCTTAAGAATTTGTTCTCCCCAAAGGAGACCTCGAAATTGGGCAGGGCCAAAGCCCTTTTCTACCATGAAAATAGTGAACTTAAAACCAATTTGGTGTGAAATACTTTGAAAAGGCCAGGCACTGTGGTTCATGCCTGTAATCCCAGCACTTTGGGAGGCTGAGGCAGGTGGATCACCTGAGGTCAGGAGTTTGAGATCAGCCTGGTCAACGTGGTGAAACCCCATCTCTACTAAAAATACAAAAATTAGCCAGGCATGGTGGTGTGTGCCTGTAATCCCAGCTACTTGGGAGGCTGAGGCTGGAGAATCAAACCCGGGAGGCAGAAGTTGCAGTGAGCTGAGATCACGTCACTGTACTCCAGCTTGGGTGACAGAGCAAGACTCCATCTCAGAAAAAGAAAAAAAAAAACTATATATATATATATAGATAGATATAGATATAGATATAGATATATCTATACATATTTTGAAAAGTGAATAGACTTGCTGTGCACATCTCAACAAGCCTTGCTATGGGACTCATGTCTGCTCCCTCTCATTGCCCTTGGTTACTTGTCCACTTCAGGTTGCCAAAGCTGGACAGTGGCCCCGTGTGAAAGGCAGGTAAAAAACATCCTTGTAGCTGTCATTTGACACAGAGAAACAGACTAAAAACCAAGTATTTTCTAGCAGGCTAGAGATGATTGCAAGGAGACAGGTCAAATCCTGCCATTTTAAAATTTCTCCCAGTGAAATAAATAACAAACCATGAAACACTGTTTTTACTCACTTTGAGCAGTGTAAATACAGAGAAAAACAAGGTCAATAACTGAATCTCAATGAAGATTCTAATGAATCTAAGAATCTAAATTAGAATCTCATCTGAAAATTAAGCATTCTGGAACCTTGAGAGAATCTTCAACTCACCAACTTCAGTGCCTTTTCCCAGAGTGAAGGTGATTCCACACCCCTTGAGTCCATCTTCTGCATCAGTTTCTATGACGACATAGGCAGCTGAGTAGTCAGGGTCCGTGTGCTACAGGAGAGAAGTTCCCGACAGAAACAATGCCAGTGTGAGAAACCGAAAAGAACCATTGAGAATGACATCACATGAGGACAGACAATGCAGAAGGAAGGAACTGTTGCTATACCCCCCCAGAAAACAAAGGGCTCTGAATGGAGAAAAGGAATGTCCTCCTGAAAGATCCAAAGTGTTTCAACAAGCACAATTTATACTTTTTGTTTTCTTGAGATGGAGTTTTGCTCTGTCACCCAGGCAGGAGTGCAGTGGTGCAATCTTGGTTTACTGCAACCTCCAACTCCCAGGTTCAAGCGATTCTTCTGCCTCAGCCTCGGGTGTAGTTGGGATTACAGGCACGTGTCACCACAGCCAGCTGCTTTTTACATTTTTAGTAGAGATGGGGTTTCACCATGCTGGGCAGGCTGGTCTCGAACTCTGACCTTGTGATCCGCCTGCTTCAGCCTTCCTAAGTGTTGGGATTACAAGTGTGAGCCACCACACCTGGCTGCAATACATACATTTTTTATCACCCGTTTTCAATTAGGTCAAAAAGTGGGGCTCAATTTTACGTATTTATTTTTATTTTTTAATCAAAAAATGGAGATGGAGTTTTGCCATGTTGTCCAGGCTGGTCTCAAACTCCAGAGCTCTAGTGATCCACCCACCTAGGCCTCTTAAAGTGCTGGGATTACAGGCCAGAGCCATCACGCTTTGCAGGGGCTCAATTTTAAGTCAAGGAGCTTTCACTCGAAGTTATCTGTCAGCTCTCTGAACAAAGTTACATTCATAAGCAGCTTCAAATTGAATAAGCCAAAGGTTCAGAAAATTCTTGCATAAAATTGGGCTGATCTCACTTATAGCAGTTTATAGCAGGGCTGAAAATACACTGGCACAAGTTCAGACACCAAGGGGGAAAATGAAGAAGTAAAGCTTCGAGATGAATTCACTCATTTTTTGTTTTGTTCTATGTCATTCTAACTTTCTACTGTCAAATGGTATTTTGATAGCAAGTACATATTGACAAGTATATATTAACTGTTATGAAACTCAGCACCACTTATTGATACAGGACATGCATAACTTGTTTTAAAAAAACAAATATGTCTAGGCACGGTGGCTCATGCCTGTAATCCCAGCACTTTGGGAGGCTGAGGTAGGCAGGCACATCACTTGAGGTCAGGAGTTTGAGACCAGCCTGGCCAACATGGCGAAACCCCGTCCCTACTAAAAATACAAAAATTAGCTGGGCGTGGTGGTGGGTGCCTGTAATCCTAGCTACTCAGGAGGCTGAGGCAAGAGAATCACATGAACTTGGGACGTGGCAGTTGCAGTGAGGCAAGATCACACCACGGCACTCTAGCCCAGGTGACAGAGCAAGACTCCGTCTGAAAACAAAAAACAAAAAAAACTAAAAACCAAAAAACAAGTCTATCTGTAGAGATCTATCATATAAGTAGGCAGAAAAAGCCAACACAGAACAAAGTGAGAAGAACAAGCTTAGAGTTGACAGAGTTTGGATCTGTGTCTCAGCATAAATTTCATGTTGAAATGTAATCCCCAGTGTCAGAGGTAGGGCTTGGTGGGAGATGACTGGATCATGAGGGTGGATTTCTCATGAATCATTTAGCACTATCTCCTTGGTATTATCCTGGTGATAGTGAGTTCTGGTTGTTTAAAAGTGTGTGGCACCTCCCCCGACTTCTGCTTTCACCATGTGATGTGCCTGCTACCACTTTGCCTCCCACCATGATTGTAAGCTTCCTGAAGGCTCCCAGAAGCTAAGCAGATGTCAGCATCATGCTTCCTGTACAGCCCTGTGAAACTGTGAGCCAATTAAACATCTTTTCTTTATAAATTACACAGCTTCAGGTACTTCTTCACAGCAATGCAAGAATGGACTAATACAAGAGTACAAGGTTGCGTGCTGAAGTATGTTATAAGTAGTACAGAAGTTCAAGGCAGGGAGGAAGAGCAAAGAGGAAGTAGAACTTGAAGAAATTTCTGAGGGGGCAAAGAGGTAGACCAAAACATCCAGGCAAGAGAGAGCAACACGAAACCCAGAGGGTTTTGTGGGACAGAGAAAGAGAAGGCCTAGAAGGGCACTGGTTGGGAAGTGAACAAAGACAAGGTCAAATCAGTGCTGTGGAGACAGACAATGGAGACCCCAAAAAGCCAGGGAGAAGATCTGGATGCCTTCATAAAGAATGAGGGATGCAATGCTGAAGAATTTTGCGTAAGGCTAAGATGATTTATTACTGTTGTTATTATTCTGTAATATTTATTGTGCCAGACACACTATTTTAAGAGTTCTATATGGTTAATTTAATCCTGTAACAGTATTATAAACTAGGTGCTCTTATCCCTATTAGAAAAGAGAAGTTTTAAAGAGGTTTAGTAATTTGCAGAAGGTCACACCACAAGTAAAATTATGTTTTATTATTATTATGAGACTGAGTCTCACTCTGTCCTCCAGGCTGGAGTGCAGTGGCATGATCTCAGCTCTCTGCAACCTTCGCCTCCTGAATTCAAGTGATTCTTCTGCCTCAGCCTTCCAAGTAGCTGGGATTCCAGGTACCTGCCACCATGCCTGGCTAATTTTTTTTTTTTTTTTTTTTGTATTTTTAGTAGAGACAGGGTTTTGCTATGTTGGCCAGGCTGGTCTTGAACTTCTGACCTCAGGTGATCCACCTGCCTCAGCCTCCCAATGTGCTGGTATTACAGGCATGAGCCACTGCACCTGGCCACAAGTAAATTATGAAGGCAGATTTTAAATCCCTGTATTGGGGGTGTTGTGGCTCAGGAAACTGTAAGTGATGGATGGGAGCCCTGAGTCTGATGTCACAGCCCAGTGGCAGGAAATCAGTGTGATGCATTGCTGAGCACCAACTACATCTCAGAGCTGCTGTGGCTTCCTAGGGGGTTACAGATAGGAATGCTTTGAGAAGGTTACATTTGAGAAGACCTGATTATAGGATGGGCATGGTGGCTCATGCCTGTAATCCCAACGCTCTGGGAGGCCAAGACAGGAGGATTGCTTGAGCCCAGGAGCTCGAGACTAGCCTGGCAACAAGCGAGACCCCTATCTCTAAAATAAATAAATAAAAGACATGGTTACAAAAACTCTAATAATATAAGGGAGAAGATGCTAAGACCTGGAAGAGATGCAAACTATGAGCAATGGAAAGAACACTGTCAGCTGAATGTGCTGCTTTTTTTTTTTTTTTTTTTTTGAGATGAAGTTTTGCTCTTGTTGCCTAGGCTGAAGTGCAATGGCATGATCTCGGCTCACCGAAACCTCTGCCTCCCAGCTTCAAGCGATTCTCCTGCCTCAACCTCCCGGGTAGCTGGAATTACAGGCACCCACCACCACATCCAGCTAATTTTGTATTTTTAGTAGAGACGGGGTTTCTCCACGTAGGTCAGGTTGGTCTCAAACTCCCAATCTCAGGATATCCGCCCACCTTGGCCTCCCAAAGTGCTGGGATTACAGGCGTGAGCCACTGTGCCCTGCCTGAAGGTGCTTCTTGAAGCAGGAGAAGTCTTTATGATAAAACAGAATCTGAGCTGGCCAGTCGAGGAAGGGGAGCTTCTCAGCAGTGGGAAGGAGAGTGAAGGGTCTGGGAGGGAGGAATATCTAAGGTGAGGTAGCAGAAGCAATGCAGAAAGTAAAGGGGTCAGAAGAGGGAGAGACTGGAGTGTATTCAAGGGTTGGTGCCCATCCTGGGTTGGCCGAGCCACTGGAAGGAGTTGAGCGATGAGGCCAAGGAGGAGACTCCAAGAATTAAAGACCCATTGGCAGTTTCTGGGTTCCAAGAAGAGGAAGCAATGGGAAAAGGAAACCTTTCACTGAAGCCTCAGATGAGGGTCAACAGGATGAGATAAGCCAAAAGTGACTTGAAGCTTTTGAGTCCCTGTGACCAGCAGCATGAGCCAAGATGGGTCAGGAGGGAGGGGCAGCAGGGTATGGAAGATGACCTCTGATTTAGACAAACCATGTTTAGCATGAAGGTGAAAAACCCAACAGGAAGTATCCAGACCTATGAGTTAAGGAGGCAGATCCAGAAATGAGATCTGGGAGACTCTGGCATAAAGGGCTGCATGGAACCCAGAACCCTGAGAGGGTCTTTGAGGGAGTGTGTAGGGAGATGGGGAAGACACTGAGGCCTGAGCCACAGAGAGGGAAGAAGGGGCCAGTGGAGGAAGAAGGAGGGGTCAGAAAGGCAGGAGGCCATGCAGGGAGAGAGCCCACAAAGAGGAGGCGACTGACAGCGGAAAACACAGCAGAAACAGAAATAACAAGGGCAGCTCACAGCGAAGAAAAGAACAGAAGTAGATTTCAGATTAAGGAGGAAGTAAGCCTGGCGTGGTGGTTTATGCCTGTAATCCAGCACTTTGGGAGGCTGAGGCACCTGAGTTTAGGAATTCGAGAACAGCCTGGACAACATGGTGAAATCCCATCTCTACCAAAAATACAAAATTTAGCCAAGCATGATGGTGTATACCTGTAATCACAGCTACTCCAGGGGCTGAGGGACAAGATTTGTACCCAAGAGGCAGAGGTTGCAGTGAGCTGAGATCGCACCACTGCACTCCAGCCTAAGCAACAAGAGATATTCTTGTATGAAAAAAAAAAAAAAATGGAGGAATCTTTAGCAGATTTAGAGGACAGTTTCATTGTTCTTTCTTGAAAATATCCTACTTGTGATCAGGGAGGCTCACTTTACTACTAAGTGCTGATGGTCCAGCATGCCTCCAGAACACGTGAAGCCATCCCCATGGTGAACTGCAAAGCAGCTCATCCTAGTAAGAAGGCACTTGAGAGTCAGTGCACAACATGCGCCCTTTCTCCCCAAGACAAACACTTAAGTATTTATGAATTTGCAATACAGGTGTTAAATAATGTCTCCTCACCCTGTGTTAGACACCACTCAGGACCAGAGGCAAATTCCATTTCTCAAATTATTCTACAGCAAACCAGGCTTGCTTTTGAAACAGGGTCTTGCTCTGTCGCCCAGGCTGGAGTACAGTGCCACAATCATAGCTCACTGAAGCCTCGACCTCCCAGGCCCAAGATATCCTCCCACCTCAGCCTCCTGAGTGTCTGGGACCACAGGTGCATGCAACTATACCCAGATAATTTTTGTATTTTTTTTTGTGGAGATAAGGTCTCATTATGTTGCTCAGGCTAGTCCTGAACTCCTGGGCTCAAGCAATCCACCTGCCTTGGCCTTCCAAAGTGCTGGGATTATAGGCTTGAACTACCACATTCAGCCAAACCAGGCTGTTTTACTTCTCAAGTTCAAAGTCAAGTCTAGATTAGGGGTTCCTCCTGCTTCAGTTTCCTCATAGTGAATAATAATTACAGCCAACCCCTCCTTTTTTTTCTTTGGAAACAGGATCTCACTCTGCCATCCAGTACCCAGGCTGGAGAGCAGTGGCACAATCATAGCTCACTGTAACCTCGAACTCCAGGGCTCAAGTGATCCTCCTGCCTCCACTTAGGATTACAGGTGTGAGCTCCCCATGCCTGGCCTATAACTAACTTTACTGAGGGCCTTCTATGAGCCAGGCTCTTTATAGGTATGTCATTTACATGTTTAAAGTGAATATTATTATATCCATTTTACAGATGAGAAAATCTAGGCTTAGAAAGATTGTGTGACTTACCCACAGCTGCTAAAGCCTCAGAGAGGCAAAGGCAGTTGCATGAGACCGAGTGTTTCAATTCTACAAGCCAGTAAAATTTCAAACATTTATTTTGAGTTCCATAAAGGATTGCCTACTGGGTATTTAAGTAATGTACCACATCATATAAGGAAGGACACATGAAGATTTTTAAAAGGAGGATGACAGCCTGGGCTATATGCTGAAACTCTTTCTCTACAAAAAATACAAAAAGTAGCTGGGTGTCATGGCACACACCTGTAGTCCCAGCTACTTGGGAGGTTAAGGTGGGAGGACTCCTTGAGCCAGGGAGGTCAAGGCTGCTGTGAGCCGTGATAGCACTACTGCACTCCAGCCTGGGCGACAGATAAGACAACCTGACTCAAAATAAATAAATAAAATAAAATAAAAAGTTTTGCCAGGCGCAGTGGCTCACGCCTGTAATCCCAGCACTTTCAGAGGCTGAGGCAGGCAGATCACCTGAGGTCAAGAGTTCCAGAGCAACCGGACCAACGTGGTGAAACCCTGTCCCTTAAAAAATAAATAAATGATCTGAGCAAAATTTAAGTTCTTTATTTTTTTTTAAAGTTTTAAAATGTAGGATGAACTTAATCTCAAAAAGGTCAATCTTTTGCATATAATAGCTTTATTTAACGAGAGGTCTATTGTTATAAAACATTTCAGGTATAAAAAGAGTACAGATAATGTAATGAACACCAGCTTGCCATCCACACAATTTAGTAAGTAAAACATTACAGCAGGAATTAGAGACCTCTTGGTCCCCTCCGTGACCCCATTTCCTTTCCTCCCTATCGGTAACCATTTTCCTAATACTGCTATTCCTCACTTCCCGTCATATTTTCACACATTCTCTACATACCCATACAATTCTGCTTTTCTAGCGTGGCCAATCTCATCAGTGGACCAAGATGGGCAGTGAGAACCCAGTGGGGAACAGGCGCCCTGAAGACCCTGCACAGAACTCCGTCCGCCACTGAATTTGGGAAACACCGTTCTAGACTGGGGAGAAGAGGGAAGGCCTCACATTCTAACATTCTCGGTAAGCAAAAAAGACCTTCGGTACTTAGGTAGGAGTCAAAGTCCCTGCCCTTTCTTTATTACATCTCTTAAGACTAACCGACATTCGCATCAATCCTTTCTAACCATCTTTGCTGGTAATTTCATGAGAGCGCCCTCTCATGTGACCCAGTTATCACGCGCTTGATTTCTCAACACGACCATGACACTTTCATTTCATAGAGGGTCACCACTCAAAACTCCCAGCCCCGGGCTTTCCATTCTCCTTCACCGTGAACCACCTCACGTTCAGGGTACAGAAGCCAGCGAGCGCTGTGATCTAAGGTTTCACTGGAGGGAACCCAACACAATCATTTTGCTGCTATTGCATTTCCAGCAAAATGTGAGTCGTAAACGTAAAACCAGGATATTCTAAGCACTAGCAAAGAGAAAACCCTGGAGAGTGGAAAGTTTCTGGATACTTAGACTATTGCTCCAAGAAATGAAAAGCGAGTGTCTCCCCCAGGCGCGCCTCCCACTTTACAGAAGCAATGGGTCCAAAGTCTGGAAGCTCCCGGGACCCGCCGGTCTGCAGTTGGCGGAGCGGGAGGGACTCGGGCCGCAGCCCGCGCTTACCATGGCGTCCGAGCCGTGGCCCCCGAGCGACGTGGGGAAGCGCACGTCCCGGACCGAGAGCCGGGAGATTCTGCCGCGTACCATGGCCTTGCGCCCCGAGGCCGCGCCACCCGTGCGGTCAGGACGCGTCGGGATCCAGTGTCCGCCGCGAGAGGGCGGAGGGCCGCGAGGCGGAGCATCGTCGGGCACAGAGCGCGCTCATTGGCCGCGCAGCCACACCGGTGAACTAGGCCCCACGGGAACTCCAGGCCCCACTCTGGCCTCCCGAGGGAGCGCCCAGCCTTTCGCCGTTTCCCTCCCAGCACCAGACAGAACTGCCCCACGCGGGTTCGCTAAGGGCAGCTGCGGACCCTGGGTCGGCAGGAGGCCTTGCGCCACGTCGGCGCCTCCGCGGGACCCTGCTCGGCCCGGATCGGAGGTCGGGAAGGAACTTGCCCAGGAGCGGCGCCCTAGAGGGAGAAGTCGAGTCTGAGCAAGTGCATTTGCCCAACAGCAGATTCCCGCCAGTGGCTCAGCTCAGGATCGGAGGCCGCAGGTTGCCGCCGGCGCACCCGGGAGAGCAGTGCGTTAGGAAATGCTAGGTGTCTTTCAGTGCCCACAGCCTCAGTTTGCCACCTGATAAATTAAGAGGCAGGTCATCATTTATTACACCCACACTGATGCAGAGTGCTTTAAGTACTTTACCCCAACCGGGCGCGGTGGCTCATGCCTGTAATCCCAGCACTTTGGGAGGTCGAGGCGGGCAGATCACCTGAGGTCAAGAGTTCCAGACCAGCCTGGCCAATATAATGAAACCCTGTCTCTACTAAAAATACAAAAATTAGCCAGGCTTGGTGGCACGCGCCTGTAATCCCAGCGACTTGGCAGGCTGAGGCAGGAGAATAGCTTGAACCCGGGAGGCAGAGGTTGCAGTGAGCTGAGATGGAGTCACTACACTCCAGCCTGGGCAACAAGAGGGCGACAGAGCAAAATAAAGAAATAACACACCTATCTTACTTCTTATGCCCCAACCCTGCAAGGTAGATGCCATTTAAATTCTATCGGTGAAAAAAATGGGAATTCAAAGAGATAAGTGATTTACCCAAGTCCACACAGCTAGTTAGGTTTCAGTGTCTTGGCTGCAATACCTGGGCTCCGTCATCTGGGTTGCAGGGATTCTTTAATTTTCAGGACTATAGGATGCCTGTGAGAAAATGGTGAAAACTATGGACACTCCCTTCCTCCACACCCTGCCCCGCCAAAAAAAAAAAAGTTTGTGCGCGCGCGCACGCACACACACACACACACACACACACACGCTTTTTCATACCATTTTATGAAAAGCGGTGTGTGGTACAGTTCCTGCCTCTGGGAAATGCTTTGAAGAGTAAATGAGGCCGGGCGCCTTGGCTCACGCCTATAATCCCAGCACTTTGGAAGGGCGACATGGACAGATCTTCTGATGTCAGGAGTTCGAGACCAGTCTGGCCAACGTGGCGAAACCCCATCTCTACTAAAAATACAAAAATTAGCTGGGCGTGGTGGTGTGCACCTGTAATCCCAGCTACTAGGGAAGCTGAGGCAGGAGAATCGCTTGAATGCAGAAGGTGGAGGTTTCAGGGAGCTGAGATCTCGTCACTGCACTTCAGCCTGGTAACAGAGCAAGACTCTGTCTCAATACTGGTTCTTTGAAAACATGGATAAAATCAATAAGCCTCTAACCAGGCAAGAAAAGAGAACGCAAATTATTAATATCAAAAATGAAAGGAGGACATTACTATAGATCCGATGGACATTAAAATAATAAAGGAATACTATGAACTCTATGTCCACAAATTTGATAACCTGGATGAAATAAGCCAGTTCACTGAATGACACAATCTGCCAAAACTCACACAAGAAGAAACAGACAATCAGAATAGGCCTATATCTATTAAAGAACTTGAGTAAATACTAGCCTTCCAAAAACTGAAAGCACCAGGCCCATGGCTTCACTGGTGAATTCTACGCCAAACACTTAAGGAAGAAATTACAACAATTCTCTGAAGCTGGAAACAGCCACGAGCTGACGCTGTGGTGAATGATTAATGCTTTCTCCTTAAGATTTGGAACAAGGAAAGGATGTCTGCTTCCACCACTTCTATTTGACATAGTTCTGCAGGTTCTAGCTAGGGTAATATAACAAGAAAAGAAATAAAAGGCAGATTGAAAAGGAAGTAAACCTGTTTATTCTTGGTGACATGCTTATTCATCTTTGTTAAAAACTGTCTTTATGCAACTTATGAAGAAAGCTCCTAGAACTAATACTGAGCTTAGCAAGTATGCAGGATACAAGGTCAATTTAAAATCAATTATAGTTGATGTGCTAGTAATATAAAAATTGGAAACTGAAATTAGAAAACAATACTTTTTTAAACAATTGCATCAAAAATATAATACAAGTTTAACAAAAATATGCAAGATTTGCACACTGAAAACTATGAAACATTGCTGAGGGAAAAAATATCTAAATAAATGTAGAGAAATTCATATTCTTGGATTGGAGGACTCAATATTGTTAAAATATCAGTTCTTCCCAAATTGAACTACAAATGCAATGCAATTGGTTGGGCGTGGTGGCTCACTCCTGTAATCCAAGCACTTTGGAGGGCAAGGTGGACAGATCACCTGAGGTTGGGAGTTCAAGACCAGCCTGACCAACATAGTGAAACCCCATCTTTTAAAAAATAAAAAAAAAAAATAATAAATTCAATGCAATCTAATCTGAATCCCCAGCAGGATTTTTCTAAGAAATTGACAAGTTGATTCTAAAATTTATATGGAAATTTGAATAGCCAAAATAATCCTAAAAAAGAACAAGGCTGAAGAACTTAAACTACTTGGTTTTAAGACTTACTATAAGCTACACTAATCGAGTCAATGTGAAATTGACATCAAGACAGACAAGTAGATCAATGGAACAGAAGAGGTCTTGAAATAGACTCAAACATATGTAGTAAGTTGATATTTAAAAACAGGAACCAAGGAAATTCAATGAGTAAGACAGTCTTTCCAACAAATGGTGCAGGAACAGTTGAATATTCATATGAACAAACAAACAAAACAACCCTGGATCCTTACCTTATATCATACACAAAACTCATCTCAAAGTGGAATACAGATCTAAATTTTAAGAGCTAGAATTATCAAACTGAAAACACAGGATAAAATCTTTTCTAATTAGATAAAGCAAATACACTAAAAGCATGAATCATAAAAAACACTGTAAATTATCAAAATTAAAAATGTTTTCTCTTTGATAAAAACCATTAAGGAAATGAAAAAGCAAGCTGCGGATTGGGAGAAAAATATTTGCAAAATATATCTGTTGAAGGACTTGTATGCAGAATATTGAAAAAATTATAACTTGGTAAGATGGCAACTTGATAGAAAAATGGGCAAAAGATTTTAATAGACATTCCACCAAAGCAGATATATGAATTTGAAATAAGCTTATGAAAAGACTCAACATTATGAGTCATTAGGGAAATGCACACTAAAACTACAATGATGTACTACTAACATGCACCAGGATGGCCACAATTAAAATAACTGGCAATACAAAGTATTGGCAAGGATGAGAAGCAGATGGAACTCTCATATATTGCTGGAGGGGTGTGAAAGGATATAGCTTCTCTGGAAAATAAATGGTCAGTTTCTTAGAAAGTTAAACATACAAGTACCATACAACTCAGTAATCCTACTTATAGGTAATTATCCAAGAGAACTTAAAACCTATGTTTATTTATTTAAAACAATTTTTTTGAAACAGGTTTTCACCATGTTGCCCAGGTTGGTCTCGAACTCCTGAGCTGAGGCAATCCATCTGCCTGGGCCTCCCAAAGTGCTGGGGTTACAGGCGTGAGCCACCGTGCCTGGCTCAAACCTATGTTTAAAATAAAAACTTGTGTTTGTTCATAGCAGCTTTGTGATAGTCTAAAACTAGTACCAATCTAGACATCCATCAACTGGAAAAAGGACAAAACCAAGATGTGGTATATCCATAGGAGGGAATGTTACTAAACCATAAAAAGATGAATCTCAAAAGCATTATGCTGGATGAAAGGCATCAGACACAGTGACTACATATGATTCCATTTATATAAAGCCCTAGAAATGTACAATTATAGTGACAGAAAACACTCAGTGGTTGCCAGGGGTCAGGGGTGAATGGAAGAGATTGACTGTAAAAGGGCATAATGGAGGCCGGGCGCGGTGGCTCACGCCTATAATTCCAGCACTGTGGGAGGCCAAGGCGGGTGGATCACGAGGTCAAGAAATCGAGACCATCCTGGCCAACATGGTGAAACCCCGTCTCTACTAAAAATACAAAAAAAATTAGCTGGGCATGGTGGCGCATGCCTGTAATCTCAGCTACTCAGGACGCTGAGGCAGGAGAATTGCCTGAACCCAGGAGGTGGAGGTTGCAGTGAGACGAGATCACACCATTGCACTCCAGCCTGAGTAACAAGAGTGAAACTCCGTCTCAAAAAAAAAAGGAAAAAGAAAAAGGGCATAATGAAACTTTCTGAATTGATGAAAACATTCCATGATTGTGGTAGTGGTTTCATGGCTGTATACATTTGTAAAACACTCATCTAGTGGTATACCTAAAATGGTGAGCTTTGTTGTATGTAAATTATATCTCAATAAAACAAAAATGTTGCTTTGGGGTGCTGCCTCCTCCTTGAATTTGATTCTAAGTTTGAATTTTCTTTGAAATTGCACTTAAAACTCTGCAAAAATATTTTCTTGTATTTTAGATTTAGTTTCTTCTGATTCCACAAATTTCACAAAATTTGCTGAACCGATGCCACCCTTTTCTAACTTTCTAGCAATGGTAAAGATTACAAAACCAACCAAAACAAGTTTGCCATCTAGTTCCATGACATATCCTCTCAATGTTTTAGGAGAGTTAAGACTTTCTGTGAAAATAGGTAATTATGAGTGAATAAATGGAATTTGATAAACTTTAGGGGCCACATCACATTCAGTTATTAGAATCACTGTCAACGTTTTTGGCCAACTGCAGGGTTTTACTTTCTATTTCTCTTATCCCTATTATCACAGGCTAGTGACAATTTTTTACTTTGGATTGTCAAAGTCCTCCAACTTACTCAAGTTTACTTGACTTTTAAGACTGAAGTGAAGCTGTATTGAACCCCTACCCCATGTCCCTGTGAAATCCGGTGTCTCTCCAATTATCTCTGGAAGTACTTGGACTTTTATATTTACCTGATTTAGTTTATTTGCTGAATTTATTTCCCTACTACATTTAAACTAGATTATGAAATCCATCTCTACTCTTTCTTGTACCTTGTCATTACACCTTCTGGCCATGACTAAATCCCTTTTCTTCCCTAAAGGTCACTGCCTCACAGTTGTGTGTAGCTGATTTGAAGGAAGGTTTGG